GATAAACACTACTTCGTGGGATATACTTGTCATTCACTTGCTTACTTTAAAATTAGATTCAGATAGTAGCAGAGAATGAGAGTTGAAAGTCACTATTAATAATGAGTCTGATACGTTACCAACATTTGATCAATTTAAGGAATTTCTTACTATTCGATACAGAGCATTTGAATTTTTAGAAACCAAATCCAATAAGGGTTATTCAACAACTGTAACTAAGCCTAAAGTATTTGTAACTGCTTCTTCTGGTTGCGCTTATTGTAATGAAGATCATTATATTGGTTATTGTAAACAATTTTGTCAAAGTGATGCGATTACTCGTAGGAAATTTGTTCAAGAAAATAATTTATGTTTTAATTGCATGGGTCACGGTCGCTCTGCTAGGCAATGCAAGCGTACAGCATCTTGCCGAATTTGCAAGCGCCGACACCACTCGCTGTTACATGCTCAGGGGGAGCAAGAGGCAGGTTATAAGGTAAACCATTCACCTGGTTCAACGAATACCAGCGAGCCTCAACCCTCAACGTCACACGCACATACGGCTGGTTTAGAGGAAGAAGCAAACGTGGTGTCCTGTATGTCGAAAGGATCTGCTAATAATCAAGTATTATTAGCCACGGCTCTTGTCAAAGCTGTTTCGATAATTGCTATGTACACCGTGAGAGCCTTACTAGATCAAGGCTCACAAGCAACTTTTGTAACCGTGGTTACCGTCCAAAGGCTGGGTTTGAAGAAAAAATCTATCAGGGGTACAATATCTGGAATAGGAGGAGAAAAAAGTCTAATTTCAAAGGCATTAGTTGAAGTAAATATCCAGTCTAGAATTGATTCATCAAAAAATGTGATTGTAAAGGCGTATGTTCTAAAGTCAATCACCTCGCTGTTACCTGTAAAGAAAGTAGCATATTTTGAGTGGGTAACGGTGAATAATTTACCGATAGCTGATCCTGCGTTTCACACACCAAACAGAGTTGATATGCTGTTTGGGGCGGACGTTTATACTAAGGTTTTGCAGGAAGGTTTGAAGAGGGCACCAGATGGATCAATGATAGCTCAATGTACAACGCTGGGGTGGATTATATCGGGAACAGTTAAAGAAAATAATATAGGAACTAATCTTACAGTTTTGCATACTCAATTTAAGGAAGACGATCTACTAAGAAAATTTTGGGAAATGGAGCAGGAACCAAGTGATATAGGAAAACACATACTTACAGAAGAAGAAAATAAATGTGAAGAATTATTTAGTAGCACTACGAAAGGGAATGTAAACGGTCGTTATATTGTTCACTTACCTTTTAAAACCGTATATCCGAATAGTCTATATGGCGACTAGAGCTATTGCACTTAAAAGATTTCAGTGTCTAGAGTCAAAATTAAGTCGAAATACTGATCTGAAACAGAGTTATACACAGGCTATCAATGAATATTTAACATTGGGTCATATGAAGCCATTGTCAAGAGGAGAAAAATTAAATACAAATAAAGCAAATGTAGTGTACTTACCACATCACGCTGTCGTTCGAAACGATAAAGACACAACCAAGGTGCGCGTTGTTTTCGATGCCTCGTGTAAAGGAAAAAATGGAATTTCTCTTAATGATGACCTTATGATTGGAGCTAGTTTGCAACCGGAGTTGAGACATTTAATTATGAAGTGGAGAGCTCATCCTATTTGTCTTATAGCTGACATAATTAAAATGTATAGACAGGTGTTGCTAACTGAAAAACACACCAACTTGCAGCGAATATTATGGAGAGACAGTAAGGGATCTCAAGTTGAGGAATACGCATTACTTACTGTAACATTTGGGACAGCATCTGCGCCATTTTTAGCAGTGCGAGCCATGCAGCAAGTTGCACACGATGAGGGACAGGCTTATCCGATGTCCGGTGAAAGAGTGCTGAATGACTTTTACATCGATGATCTTATGACAGGCTGTCAGACAATTCAGGAGGGCATACAGATATACAAAGAGATGAACAGCTTATTAATGAAGGCAGGTTTTGAATTGCAGAAATGGTTGAGCAATAGCAATGAATTATTGGCTGAGATTGCTAGTGATGACAAGGAAGATATGCAAATAGCTAAGAGCATTAAATTTAAGCAAGAAGAAATATTAAAGATTTTAGGACTTACCTGGAATCGAAGTAGTGACAGCTTCCAATATTCCGTGCAGCTTCCATTGATGACACCGGGACCTGTAACAAAAAGAAAAATAATATCACACGTAGCGAAATTGTTTGATCCACTAGGTTGGGTTGCACCAGTGGTTGTGATAGCAAAGATACTAATTCATAAGTTATGGATATTAGGTATCGGATGGGATGATTAAGTTCTAGACGATATAAAAAAAGAGTGGAATACTTACCGTGAAAAACTGCAATCTTTAGGTAAATTATCGATACCTCGATGGCTAAGCACCCGTCTAGGCGAAGAACGAGTAAAGTTGCATGGTTTCTCGGATGCCTCGAAAACAACTTATGCTGCAGTTGTCTACGCACGGGTTGTTAGTGTTGACGGTAAGGTACATGTAATGTTGATCACAGCTAAAACAAAGGTCGCTCCTATCAAAACTGTCTCAATACCTCGTTTAGAATTGTGTGGCGCGGTATTGTTGATAAGGTTGTTAAATGAAATATCAAAAATTATGGGTATTGATAGATCAGCTATGTTTGCTTGAACTGACTCTGAAATAGTTTTAGTTTGGTTAAATAGCCATCCAAGCAGATGGAAAACCTTTATCGCTAACAGGGTTTCGGAAATTTTATGCGTTAGTGAACCACAACAGTGGAACTTTGTCCAGTCTAAACAAAATCCAGCAGACGTTGCGTCACGTGGCATGTATCCGTCTGAATTGTTGAATTCACAAATATGGTTAGAGGGTCCTCCTTTCTTGAAAGACAAACAAATTAAATACAAAAGGGTTAAAGGTTGGCGAATCCCTGAACCTAACGTCGGCGATGTTGTATTGATCAAGGAAGACAATTTGCCTCCTTGTAAATGGCTACTTGGTAGAGTGACTGAGAAACATCCCGGTCAGGATAATATTACGCGTGTAGTCACATTACGTACGAACAACTCTACATTAAAAAGACCTACTTCCAAAATATGTGTTCTACCCATTAATTAAAGGTCAATAAATTGTGATTGTAAGTTATTATAGGTACTGGTATAAGTAGGTAGTTATTTTTTAATATTTTGTAAGTTTAACTTTTGTTTTTTGGGAGTTCTATTGTTATTCATTTGTTAAACATAGGGGTTTTTAGTTTGTTGAGTTACGATTATCTTAGTAAAGAACATACCGTGGCCAGCCACTATATGTCCTTGGTGGGCGGAATGTTCAACCTTAAACAATGTTTATTTTGGTTTTGATAGTATTTAGTACCATTTGATTACGAAAGATGGTGCTAATAAAATGTGTCAAATGTTTGGGTATATTTTCTAAATCGCGCTGTAGAAATTATTTTATGTTAATACTTATGTTAGATGAATAAGGTTCAAAATGGCAAATAAATTGGGCCACAGCGATCTGTGGAAACAGGTTACCAGTTTTTTATTGTTTTAAGAAACCCCCTGTCAATCACCCTCCAGAAACCAACCCTCCATTAGTACAGGGTTGTACAACCATTCATAGCCAAAGCTCAATAAATTAAAAAAATATATCAAATTGTTAACAAATTTTTGGTTTTTATTTTAGAATTAGCTGAGTGCTAAAAAAGTGTTCCATGATTTTTTGAAAACCGTACTTTTCAAGCGACGTTTGACAGATGGAGGTCATTGGCTTTCCTATTCTTATATAAATCGCATAGTCTCAGACCAACGCATAGTACACAGATTTTGCATTGTTGTGGAATTATTGCCTATTATGATTCTTCAGCCAAGTAATACTCGCGTTTTGCAGCAATGGTTGAAAATCTGCGTTCATCGAAACCATCAAAATCTATAGGTATTTTCTCTCCCACTGCTAATAGTTTTCTCGTATAAAAATAAATATTTTGACAAACCAATGGCACATCTCTGTCACACTTCTGTTTTTTCTATCTCCGTTATTAATATTTCGTCCACTATGCTTCGAATTGTACATTTGGAAATATCTGAAGCAAAGACAAATTAGATGATGAAAATAACGATGTGACACCATGTGCGCTCAAAATGTGTCCCAATCAAGAAGTGCTTGATTGAACACATCTCAAGCACTTCATTCTTGGTCTTGGTTCAGTTCAGTCACGCGCGAACCGTTGAAAAGTCAACATGCCGCAGAGCTCTCAAAACGTCGTAAAACGACTTTTCCACTTGAAATATGGTCTTTAAGTTCTGAAAAACTTAAAATATGACCTGCTTCTCACCGCTTGTATGAACAGGCCAATTATTTTTTTATCACGTAACGGTCAAATTAAAAAATAGAAAACTCGAAAATCACAATTCTATTATTTATCATACAAAGAAAAATTGAGCTACTCTATTTGACAGTAATTTAGTGTTGCCAATATCAGTAAAACCATTAGTTCCTCAAACATTATTTTCGTGACTTTATTGCTTAGACCAATAAACCACTGTGGTTTTAATGGTCTAAGCTTTATTGACAGACTGTAACCCATTCCCTACGTACCTTTATATTCTTACTCTAGGACTCCCATGGCATCATGCTCTATTTCTAATACTATAAAATTAAGTAGGCACATTATAGATTTATTTTTAAATTTTTAGGGCAAGATTTACATTTGGTTGGATTATTGATGCATCAATTATTATTGTCTGGCTGTTATATTTCTGTTTAGTGGTCAAGCTTTCAAAGTTTATAATTTACTGATTTTAGTTAAAGTATTGTACCGTGCGTCGGCGTCGTCATTAACACGGTATTTCCCCTGGGACTTTATTCACTGTATTTTTTTGGAATCTACCGTATTTTTTGAGGGGTATCACCGTCGACTAGTATTTGGACATGGCAAGACTGGTGCTTGCTTGCTTGCATTGCTTTTCTTTCTTCTCTTTCTATCTTTCCAGTACCTACTCGAGAATTGGATATTTCAATAAATTATAAATTTATTCCTAAATTAAATTGCTAACAATATATTTATAACATTGAGTTAAAAGTAACTACTGCGACTACAAAATAATTTTAGTTATTGTTTGAAATGATACTGTATAAAGAAACAAAAATATTGTGAGCAAGCATCAAGTTGCCGAAGATCGGGAAAATTTAAGGGGTTGTTACGCTCTTTATTTAGTTTTGGTTTTAACAAATTTAATTGCTATGTCTGGAAGAAGGAAAGCTCCTCCAACAGGTTTCAACTTCAATAAAGCTCCAGAACAACCTGTGTAAGTCGATCTCTTTACGTACGTATTATACAATATAAAAAGAAACAAATTACTACGTTTAGTTCAAGTAAGCTCTTCAAAATTATACCAATGGGCTGAAGCAGTATAAAATAAATATTACATAATCTTGAAATGGAATGGAAAAATCTATCAGAGAAATCCAAGAATTTGTATCTTGTGCTAGGATTTTATCCAACTATGTGAAGTTTAATAATTTAATAACTATGTAAAGAAACTAGATATTTAAGGTCTGTCTGTGTTTAATAACTATGTAAAGAAACTAGATATTTAAGGTCTGTCGCCTGGTATGAAAAAGTGTTCTTATAAAAGTAGTAACAGTTCAATGCTTTAGAAAATTATGATAAAAATTACCCTTTTAGATTTTTAACTAATGTAGAGATACATTATGGTAAAATTATGGTATTGACAAAACACTTACATTTCTAGGGCTCCGCCGAGGAACTTGGATAAGCAAACTACTATAACAATTGATGATAAAACATTTACTGTGCATGCTGATGATCTTGTAAAGATATGTGACCTTGGCCGGGGTGCATATGGTGTAGTAGAGAAGATGCACCACAAACCTAGTGACACCATAATGGCAGTCAAGGTAAATCTTATTACAAATTATGTTGTTTTATTGTAACTAAATGGAACATCTTTTTTTTTGTCATAGAATAGAAACTTCATTACTAATCATTAAAAATACTAAATACTTTACTTTTTTTTCAGAGAATTGCCTTTAACAATCAGTCACAGGAGTTAAAACGATTGCTAATGGATTTAGATGTGTCCATGAGAGCTAGTGCTTGTCCATACACTGTACATTTTTATGGTGCCATGTTTAGAGAAGGTGATGTATGGATTTGTATGGAAGTGATGGACATGAGTCTTGATAAGTTCTACACAAAGGTCTACAAGAACAACAGAACTATACCTGAAAATATTCTTGGAAAAATTGCATTTTCAGTTGTGAGCGCATTACACTATTTGCACTCAAAATTGAAAGTAATACACAGAGATGTGAAACCATCTAACATTTTAATTAACAGAAAGGGGGAAGTAAAAATGTGTGACTTTGGTATATCAGGGTATCTTGTTGACTCTGTCGCAAAAACAATAGATGCTGGTTGCAAACCGTATATGGCACCAGAAAGGATTGACCCTGCTGGCAATCCTGGCCAGTATGATATCCGTAGTGATGTGTGGTCACTGGGTATATCAATGATAGAACTTGCTACTGGTAAATTCCCCTACAGTTCTTGGGGTACACCATTTGAACAGTTGAAGCAGGTTGTTAAAGATGACCCCCCAAGGTTGCCTAGTGGCCAGTTCTCAGCAGAATTTGAAGATATGATAGTAAAATGTTTACAGAAAGATTACAAACAAAGACCTAATTATGATGCACTTTTGGCACACCAATTTTGTCTAGAGCATAGTCAAAAGGAAACAGATGTAGCTTCCTTTGTGCAAGAAATACTTGATTTGCCTGATGAGTCCTAGTATTAAGAAATTCTTTATTGAGTACCATTAAGTACAAGTGTTTAGCGATTACTAACCGTAATGTAGATTGTTATAGCAGAGAATTTTGTTCAAATTGTTATTAACAAGTAATTTATGTATGTACTGTAGTACATCAATGGGTTTAGGTGAGACTGCCAGATGTTTCATGTAACACTTATTTTGATCTTTGACAATGAATATTACTTTGTTTTATTGTATAGTACTTTGTAGTGCTGTACTTCTATATTAATGTCAATACTATACTAAGTATAACAGGATTATTGTTATCAGTTGCTAGTATAATTATGCAATGACTGGGTGTAGTGATCTTCAGCTAAAATCTTCTGAAGGTTATGTTATAAACTTCATGAATTAATGGAGATCTATTTTGGAAAAATTGTTTAATAAGGAAGGAATTTATTATGTGTTATTTTAACTGACTACATCTATAATATACATCACAAATCAATTAGCCTAAATAAAAATAATTTGTTTTCAAACAGTATTTAATTCCATGATGATCCACCTTCGTTAAAGTAAATAATGAAACTAAATTACTGCAGTTTTATGTAACATTTATTTGAAATATTTATACATTTATTAAAACCATGTCATAAACAAAATAAGTACAAAATAGTTTTACATACATCACAATAAGTACATGTCACATTTTTTCTTAAATCTTATTAAACCAAATCAGAGTACTGATGGCATGCATTCTTCATTTTATCTCCGATTTGCTGACAGAATTTTGCTAAAGCATAATTGACTAGAGACAATAGTTTCCATTAAAATGGAGAGTTCATTCCCAGTTTCGTTCCAAAGTCCAATCTAGCACGTCGTTGGTTCCGGATATCAGCTCTGTAACCAAAATCAATATGAAAGTAAATTAGGGAAATATATTGCATACATGCATTTCCTTGCTTTATTATGACTATGACTTAATTCGACGACCTCCGTGGTCGACTGGTTTGTACGCCGGGTTTCATGGTGTCGCCGACTCGAGTGGTCCCGGGTTCAAATCCCGGTGGGGGCAGATGTTTGTGTGATGAATACGAGCATTTGTACTCCAGTCATGGATGTTTAATATGTATTTCTATAAAAATATACTTACATGTACAGTATATGTATTCTATCCGTTACTCTATATCCCATAACACAAGCCTTATAGTGCTTACTTAGGGGCTAGGCTAATTGGTGGGAGTGTTGGAAATATTTATTTATGCTAATTTTGAATATGCCGTTAACAGAAGGTGTATAATATTGTAAACATGGAGCGCTAAGGAAAGAGAAAACTGCATAGCTGAACACGCTTTTGCTTATTACAAATAAAGTGCGACAGGGATCTTTATGAATGTGAGTTACTGTTCAGGGAGGGCCTGAGGACACATCTGCCATATCTTGCAATGTTGCTAAAAACTAAGTAATGTACTATACTATATTAGAATTCTTGAAAAAAGTATAATTAAGTCTTAAGCAATATGTTGTAGGGTTTTGAACGTTTGAACAATATTAAATTAAAATTTCCAACTTTCAAGGAGTCATCACTCTTATACAAATTAATTTGTATGTTTTTTTTTGCACTGAAGTAACGAATAATGAGTGTTGAGCACGAACACGAGTGCGGGTGAGCACACGAACGCGAGCGCGAGCGTCCACGGCACGCGCGTTATATAACGTGCGTAAGGTGTTTATTTGTATAGGAGTAATGTCTGTGCGCTAATCTGTGTGCGATACTGACTTGATCTCCTGCCACTTGATGAGTTCGTTGAGCACGAACACGAGCGCGGGCGAGCACGCGTACGCGAGCGCGAGCGTCCACGGCAAGTGCGCGCGCAGCGAGCACACGCCCCAGCGCGAGCAGTAGCCGTAGCTGACGCTTAGTGAACACGCACTGAACACAATCTGGACTAAAACCCTGAGATAAAACACCAGACACTATAATTAGATTTAGATGAGCGGTGCTTTTGTCCTGCTTATCATTGTGATTCGTCCTGAATAATGGTCTGAGCAACACCTACTTGAAAAAGATAAGTCTACAGGGTTCTTAACCTACGAGGGTCCACCCCCCACCCAAGAATTCATAATGGTCAATTCATACTAGCGCAGAGTCGAAGCGCATCGTAGCGAATTTCAGAATCAGTAAATTAGCAAATTCATCCTTCTCTGCAGCGTGTTTCGTGAATTCGCGCGTCTTCGTTTTATCTCAGAAGTACATTACGTTGGTCCTGGGGTAAATACGCCCCTGTGTGTCTGTATATATAAATGATGACATTATCTATCTAAAAAACAACAAAATAGACTGAGGAGCTCGTTGGGGCAGCAGTTAACACATATCAATCGATAATATTAAAAACCCTTGATATAACATCACGGAAAAATCGTGCCCGATAGCTGAAAGGTACATTGGACGATCCACAGAGCTCCGCAAAATGATCGCGTAGTCAAAAAGAAAATAGGGCATTATTTAAATATTCAAAGTCATAATTAATTCATATGACATAAGGTTTTAATTTAATCGCATACGTCAGAGTTGTGGCAGTTCGAAATGCAAGCTCGTATTTCACGACTTGTGGCTGTAGGCGGAAGTATGTAGACTATTTTTATGAGCTTATACCTATATAATTCTGATTGCGCTATTAGCAGTCACGGAGGAAAGTTTTAGGTAAAGTTGCGTCTACATGCAATGCATGTAGAACCGGCCATGCATGTGATTATTACAATATTTTATGTGAAGTCAGTCTGATAGTATGTGTTACAAAAACCTTTGCTTGAATTACGTGAAATTAACAAACATTGATTAGATACATGTTGAAAACCCACATTTTATGTACCTACTGTGAGTATGTTTTCCGCATTTTTTCAAGGAGCTCTGCGTAATATTGAGTTTTCAAAGGTCCGCGCGTGACTGTGAGTTAAGAAGTGCTTAAGTGGTGTTCAAGATGTGTTTCCATCTGGCGGGGCCACTCGAGCTAGACTTAAAATAGTAGTGATTGCTACTATCTATCAAAATGGTTGAACTAAAATTATTAATTATTAAAATACATTGAACATTGTTAGTTAATTCATGAGCTACATTGGACAAACAAAGCATTGCAAGCACTTCTTGATTGGGTCACATTTTAGTGCACGCGGTGTATCTAGGCTTTTATTTTAATATCGTTATCTCAGCCGTTTGATTGTTAAGGCCATCATAGCCTATAGTTGCTTGCGAGACCATAGTATCACAAATCACAAGCACTTAGCGTAACCTGCCCATTCATGAAAAATACTTTTTTTTTATTACGCAAATCTTCTTAATTTTAAAGTTCTTTTAAATTTGTTTTTTTTATTTGCATTATTATATCAATATGCTATTTTAAAAGACTACATACCTATATTACATTCTAAATATTATACTTACAAAATTACAACACTCCCACACCATACTTCATTCGACAAAAAACTTCTTTGCCATATGGAAGATTGTCTGTGTACAAAAGACAGCGAGATGACAACTGAAATAAAAAAAACAGACATTAATAATAAATAAATATTTTTATACACACACTAAGCTTAAACCTGTAAGGCTTGTGCTATGGGATACTAAAGTTAAAAATTAAAGTCAATATTCATTTAATCAGTTTAGGCTTTCACAAGCAAATGTGAAAGTCGAATCTTGTACTGAGAAGAAACGGCAAGAAACTTAGCAAGGGTCGGTGTTGGGTGATTGTGGTCGGTGTCGGGTGATTGTGGTCGGTGTAGGGTGATTGTGGTCGGTGTAGGGTGATTGTGGTCGGTGTCGGGTGATTGTGGTCAGTGTAGGGTGATTGTGGTCGGTGTCGGGTGATTGTGGTCGGTGTAGGGTGATTGTGGTCGGTGTCGGGTGATTGTGGTCCGTGTTGGGTGATTGTGGTCGGTGTCGAGTGATTGTGGTCGGTGTTGGGTGATTGTAATCGGTGTTGGGTGATTGTGGTTGGTGTTGGGTGATTGTGGTCGATGTTGGGTGATTGTGGTCGGTGTTGGGTGATTGTGGTAGGTGTCAGGTGATTGTGGTCGGTGTAGGGTGATTGTGGTCGGTGTTGGGTGATTGTGGTCGGTGTAGGGTGCTTGTGGTCGGTGTCGGGTGATTGTGGTCGGTGTCGGGTGATGTTGTCGGTGTTGGGTGATTGTTGTTGGTGTTGGGTGATTGTGGTCGGTGTTGGGTGATTGTGGTCGGAGTCAGGTGATTGTGGTCGGTGTAGGGTGATTGTGGTCGGTGTTGGGTGATTGTGGTCTGTGTTGGGTGATTGTGGTCGGTGTCGGGTGATTGTGGTCGGTGTTGGGTGATTGTTATCGGTGTTGGGTGATTGTGGTTGGTGTTGGGTGTTTGTGGTCGGTGTTGTGTGATTGTGGTCGGTCTCGGGTGATTGTGGTCGGTGTCGGGTGATTGTTGTCGGTGTTGGGTGATTGTGGTCGATGTTTGGTGTCTTTTGTTTGCAGTAAACAACAAGCAGCAAAAGGTGGTTGTCGCTTCCGCTTCAGTTCACTTACTTAAATGCAAAGTGATCAGTCCGAGCGTGATGTGCTGTGCGAGGTAGAATTGATCGTAAAAGTCATCGCCCCATCCGTGCCAACTTCTCGTCGACAAGTCGTGCGTCTCAGAGAAGTTCCCTTTATTCACAGGGTAAACTATCCAACAAGCAGTCGCGTTAGTAGTGGCGGCGATCTGCTCGCAAAACGAACGGAGAGTGAACCCGTATAAGGCGAGGATGGATATCGCAGCAGGCAAGAACTTGCACGCGTAACACCAAAACACGAACAGCGCCATCTGTGGAATGAAAATGGAATTTTGTTAAAATTAATATAATTCATTTATTTCGAGCAACATAACACATAACCATTGTTATATATATAGGTACATATCACAAAGATATAATTAACAATTGATGAATTTATATTAATAAATTCATTCAAAATACTAATATTAGGTCTTCACCAATGAAATTGCCGTTTTCATGAAATTAGTTAACACCATTTTTATCTATATCTTTATTTTTATTAATCTAAGTAATTACACATCCAGTCAATGGATTTTTGTCAACGTAGTGGTAGCTTATTGATGCCTTATTTGAAAAAGTCGGCTGGACGGGAGGCAACAAATTCTTCAAAGGAATTTGAAAAGTAGAAGTCTGTAGGGCCAGGTCTGGTGAGTACGGCGGATGACGGAGAACTTCCAAACCCATCTATTGTAACTTGGAGACCGTCTGCTGTGCAGTATTAGATCGCACGTTGTCGTGCAGGAGCAGCGGAGTCGAACGATTGACCAAAGCTGGTTGGAGATGCGCGAGCTTCTCCATCATTGTGTTCAGTTCTTCACAGTACAAATCTGCACTTATGCCCATCCCGTTTGGTAAGAAGCTGCAATGAATGACACCGGCGCGGCGCTAGACCACCAAAGAGTGACCATTACCTTTTTAGGGGTCAGCTTTGTGTGAGGCATTATTAGGTGCTGAACCAGGATCTAACCAACTTGCTTAGCGCTTGCAATTGTCAAACAGAATCCATTTTTCGTCGCAAGTAACAATGCGATTCAATATGGCTTCGTTTGTGTACCTGTTGAATAGTGCAAGGCTCAACTTGATGCGCACTTCGCGCTGCCGATCTTTGAAAGGTCCCCAGGTCCATACGGCGGGGAGTACGTACGAGCGGCGAGAAGGGCGCGGCGCGCTGCATGAGGGCAGACGAGGGGCGCGCGGGGCGTGGCGGGGGGCAGCGGGCCCCAGGTCTGATACTGCAGGGCGTACTCACGGGCGGCGAGCAGGGCGCGTGCGGGCGGGGCGCGGCGCGCTGCATGAGGGCAGGCGAGGGGCGCGCGGGGCGGGGCGGGGGGCAGCGGGCCCCAGGTCTGATACTGCAGGGCGTACTCACGGGCGGCGAGCAGGGCGCGTGCGGGCGGGGCGCGGCGCGCTGCATGAGGGCAGGCGAGGGGCGCGCGGGGCGGGGCGGGGGGCAGCGGGCCCCAGGTCTGATACTGCAGGGCGTACTCACGGGCGGCGAGCAGGGCGCGTGCGGGCGGGGCGCGGCGCGCTGCATGAGGGCAGGCGAGGGGCGCGCGGGGTGGGGCGGGGGGCAGCGGGCCCCAGGTCTGATACTGCAGGGCGTACTCACGGGCGGCGAGCAGGGCGCGTGCGGGCGGGGCGCGGCGCGCTGCATGAGGGCAGGCGAGGGGCGCGCGGGGCGGGGCGGGGGGCAGCGGGCCCCAGGTCTGATACTGCAGGGCGTACTCACGGGCGGCGAGCAGGGCGCGTGCGGGCGGGGCGCGGCGCGCTGCATGAGGGCAGGCGAGGGGCGCGCGGGGCGGGGCGGGGGGCAGCGGGCCCCAGGTCTGATACTGCAGGGCGTACTCACGGGCGGCGAGCAGGGCGCGTGCGGGCGGGGCGCGGCGCGCTGCATGAGGGCAGGCGAGGGGCGCGCGGGGCGGGGCGGGGGGCAGCGGGCCCCAGGTCTGATACTGCAGGGCGTACTCACGGGCGGCGAGCAGGGCGCGTGCGGGCGGGGCGCGGCGCGCTGCATGAGGGCAGGCGAGGGGCGCGCGGGGCGGGGCGGGGGGCAGCGGGCCCCAGGTCTGATACTGCAGGGCGTACTCACGGGCGGCGAGCAGGGCGCGTGCGGGCGGGGCGCGGCGCGCTGCATGAGGGCAGGCGAGGGGCGCGCGGGGCGGGGCGGGGGGCAGCGGGCCCCAGGTCTGATACTGCAGGGCGTACTCACGGGCGGCGAGCAGGGCGCGTGCGGGCGGGGCGCGGCGCGCTGCATGAGGGCAGGCGAGGGGCGCGCGGGGCGGGGCGGGGGGCAGCGGGCCCCAGGTCTGATACTGCAGGGCGTACTCACGGGCGGCGAGCAGGGCGCGTGCGGGCGGGGCGCGGCGCGCTGCATGAGGGCAGGCGAGGGGCGCGCGGGGCGGGGCGGGGGGCAGCGGGCCCCAGGTCTGATACTGCAGGGCGTACTCACGGGCGGCGAGCAGGGCGCGTGCGGGCGGGGCGCGGCGCGCTGCATGAGGGCAGGCGAGGGGCGCGCGGGGTGGGGCGGGGGGCAGCGGGCCCCAGGTCTGATACTGCAGGGCGTACTCACGGGCGGCGAGCAGGGCGCGTGCGGGCGGGGCGCGGCGCGCTGCATGAGGGCAGGCGAGGGGCGCGCGGGGCGGGGCGGGGGGCAGCGGGCCCCAGGTCTGATACTGCAGGGCGTACTCACGGGCGGCGAGCAGGGCGCGTGCGGGCGGGGCGCGGCGCGCTGCATGAGGGCAGGCGAGGGGCGCGCGGGGCGGGGCGGGGGGCAGCGGGCCCCAGGTCTGATACTGCAGGGCGTACTCACGGGCGGCGAGCAGGGCGCGTGCGGGCGGGGCGCGGCGCGCTGCATGAGGGCAGGCGAGGGGCGCGCGGGGTGGGGCGGGGGGCAGCGGGCCCCAGGTCTGATACTGCAGGGCGTACTCACGGGCGGCGAGCAGGGCGCGTGCGGGCGGGGCGCGGCGCGCTGCATGAGGGCAGGCGAGGGGCGCGCGGGGCGGGGCGGGGGGCAGCGGGCCCCAGGTCTGATACTGCAGGGCGTACTCACGGGCGGCGAGCAGGGCGCGTGCGGGCGGGGCGCGGCGCGCTGCATGAGGGCAGGCGAGGGGCGCGCGGGGCGGGGCGGGGGGCAGCGGGCCCCAGGTCTGATACTGCAGGGCGTACTCACGGGCGGCGAGCAGGGCGCGTGCGGGCGGGGCGCGGCGCGCTGCATGAGGGCAGGCGAGGGGCGCGCGGGGCGGGGCGGGGGGCAGCGGGCCCCAGGTCTGATACTGCAGGGCGTACTCACGGGCGGCGAGCAGGGCGCGTGCGGGCGGGGCGCGGCGCGCTGCATGAGGGCAGGCGAGGGGCGCGCGGGGCGGGGCGGGGGGCAGCGGGCCCCAGGTCTGATACTGCAGGGCGTACTCACGGGCGGCGAGCAGGGCGCGTGCGGGCGGGGCGCGGCGCGCTGCATGAGGGCAGGCGAGGGGCGCGCGGGGCGGGGCGGGGGGCAGCGGGCCCCAGGTCTGATACTGCAGGGCGTACTCACGGGCGGCGAGCAGGGCGCGTGCGGGCGGGGCGCGGCGCGCTGCATGAGGGCAGGCGAGGGGCGCGCGGGGCGGGGCGGGGGGCAGCGGGCCCCAGGTCTGATACTGCAGGGCGTACTCACGGGCGGCGAGCAGGGCGCGTGCGGGCGGGGCGCGGCGCGCTGCATGAGGGCAGGCGAGGGGCGCGCGGGGCGGGGCGGGGGGCAGCGGGCCCCAGGTCTGATACTGCAGGGCGTACTCACGGGCGGCGAGCAGGGCGCGTGCGGGCGGGGCGCGGCGCGCTGCATGAGGGCAGGCGAGGGGCGCGCGGGGCGGGGCGGGGGGCAGCGGGCCCCAGGTCTGATACTGCAGGGCGTACTCACGGGCGGCGAGCAGGGCGCGTGCGGGCGGGGCGCGGCGCGCTGCATGAGGGCAGGCGAGGGACGCGCGCGAGCGAGCGGGGCAGCCAGTAGGGGCACGACTACAGCGCCCATCCATACTACGCCACCTACGCTCACCGCCAAAGGCAGGAATGCACACAGCGATCCCACCTGCGTACACAAAGGGAATACATGCTTTCATTACGATCACTATCATCATATCTTTCATCATCATCATTATCATCATAAGCCTATTCATGTCCCCACTACTGAGGCACAGGCATTCCCCAAGGATGAAATAGGGAGACTGGGCCATGACCACCACGTGAGTTCAGTGCGGATTGGTGGGAGATAACGACTGCAGATGCAACCCGGATCAATGGCTTAACGTGCCTTCCGAAGCACGGAGGACCTAGAGATAGTAAATTTTTGGTCAACCATCCAATGTCCGACCACTGCGAAAGCTGCTTAACTTCAACGATCGCAGCTGAACGTGCCAATGCCAATGAACCATTCCTGCCAACGAGCTCCTCCCACTATACGACACAGACACAGAAATGAGTTAGTATAATTCTTTCTTTATCACACAAGCACTTTCAAAAGATATGGATAGTAATGTAATTGCGGCATTTGCATTAATGGTGACTTTAAATGGTTAACCATAATACCATAAATTGATTTAAGCAACGCGATCATTCCAATGAGCTCCCTGGATCGACCAATGCACTATTTGGACAGGCGTCGACCACGACTTTGATCGTGATATAATATCTAGGGTTTTAATAACATTGTCATAAACACAAAAATTTACGTAAAATTGCACATAATCTGAACGCGGCTCAACGAGTTTCAGCCAAATGTAAGAAAAAACTATATTTTACTTTAAACAAGTTCATCACACTCACATCTTATCCTAACAAATATAAATTGCAAAAGTGAGTTTGTTTGTTACTCAATCACGCAAAAACGGCAGAACGTATATTGATGAAATTTAGCACATATATAGTTTCTCACCTGGATTGATATACTTCTTATTCCAAAAAAAAATTGGGTTCCTGAGGGATTCTCAAAAAACTAAAGTTAACGCAGAACGAAGTCGCGGTTGCAGTGTTGGCGGTTCGGGGAGTTGAAATATTAGAACTGACTGCGATTTAAGATTTATTTAATATAAGCAAAGCTTTATATATTGCGAGAGATGCGTGTGTGCATATATCTAGTACACACACTACACTTCCCCCGTAAAAAAGGAAAAAAAATATAAACAATAATTTTTTGACGTGATAACATCTTATAAATCGATGAACACCGGCTGCACGCACGAAAAAGTGTCACGTTCCGCCTGAGCCAGTGCGTACAAGCGAGAGCGTGGAACAAGCGATAGAGAGGCACGATCGGCCCAAGCGTCGGCTTGTACACATTTATCTCTCTTCTCGCGTGACGTCAGAGCTAGCAATTATGCAATTTTTCATCAATGTTTCTTCGTCACAGTATCACGTGAAACTATCGTCCGTAAACCGATTTTACAGACAACAAATTTTTTATACGTTGTTGTTCTATTTGCTTTTGTATAAAATTTACCACGAACGAACAACGAACTAGCAGCCGCACTAGTGTATACTTATAAACAGTGTTATAAATACCTGCAATAGCGCTATGAAACAGACGCTACATATCCAGAACTGCGTGCAGTTCCACAGGCACATCATGAAATGGCGCGACATGGTGATCAGGGTGAACAGCGATACATCCGAGTCGCTCGACATCTGGCAACGTCACATTTAATTAAAGAAGAGTTGAAAGAGTCAACCAATAATCCTATTTCCTACTAATCCTACTAATATTATGAACGCAAAAGTTTGTTTGGTTGTATGTATGGGTGTTTGTTTGTTACTCCTTCACCTACGCTTGCTTCGAAGAAATTGTGTTTTAGCGATAAGGCCGCAGTTTGTACACTACTGTATTCTAAGCTAATTGTAATTTTAATTATGGTGTATGTACCATAAACAGTGGCGGCGCTAGGCGTCGGCGACGTCGGCCAATGCCGACGGCCTCGCGCCTGAGGGGGCCTCGCAAAATTTTTTTACAAGTTACCTATTTATTTTCGTTTCTCCTGGCCTGGCTTAGGTAGCCGACCCCGAACAATTCGGAAAAAAGCTAAGCAGATGAATTATTTTCGAACACGTGTGTGATGGAAGCGAGTAGTACTTTACGGGTATTCAGAATCGTCTGTCTGGCAACACTATTTTTGTAATTAAATTTCTATGTTTGTAATTATTTTTTGTCATCATTTGATTATCAACAATAAAACTCGTTTACTCATACGTTATTTTATAATTTGGCTCACTTAATTTAACGGTTTTTTACTGCGAAGTAAAATAGGCCTCGCGAACTATATGTCGCCGACGTCCACATGTGGTCTAGCTCCGCCACTGACAATAAAGTTATAATTCATTCATTAATTTGTTTCTTAGGTTTTCACGCACATCACTCATTAAATAAAACTAGTTTTTACCGGTTAATGCACGAAACTTTATTTATTTATTGACGTTTCGCAGCCTTTTCAGGTCTGCATCGTCAGAATAATGATTTTTTATTTAAAATTGTCGAGCTACCTTCGAAAGACTTATATTGAGCGTTCGGTTATTTCATTGGAAGATTTTTAAAATTTTATTGTCTATGTATGAATTTATTATTTAATTTACTTAATAAAGTATTGTATTTAAAATTCTTGTTTGTAATTTTGAGTTTATTTATTTGACCCTAACTACCGTAAACTACCACCGGTTCCAAAATTGGGAGACCTTCCTGAGAAAAACCGGCGAAACAAACTCAAGAGAGGCTTTCTATCTCCTTCTTATGTTAAATTATGCAAACAAAAAGACTAATAGGTATAAGGTCTCCCAATTTTGGAACCGGTGGTAGTTTACGGTAGTTAGGGTCAAATAAATAAGACAATAAAATTTTCAAAATCTTCCAATGAAATAACCGAACGCTCAATATAAGTCTTTCGAAGGTAGCTCGACAATTTTAAATAAAAAATCATTATTCTGACGATGCAGACCTGAAAAGGCTGCGAAACGTCAATAAATAAATAAAGTTACGTGCATTAAACCGTAAAAACAAGTTTTTTTCATTCATTAATTTCACGCTAAAACTACTGAACGAATTAGGATGAAATTTTTTCATATACTCGTATATATTTTAATTCCTAGATTGACAAATAGGTTAGGTTCTAGTGGGATTCTCAAAAACTAATTTTAACGCGGGCGAAGTCGCGCGCGGAGGCTAGTATTGAAAATATACAAAAATAATGGTCTATAATTTTTTTTTACAAGACTCCCCGTGCCGCTGCCGCCCGCAGGACGCAGTTGCCCTGTTGGCACTGTTATGCCAAGATCAAATCAACGTCCGTATACTTAGAACTTTGCTTTAATAAGAGTTAAACTATTACTTCTTTTGCTCGATAGAATAGTATGGGAGGAAATAGAATCTTTGCAGGAGCTACATATCCATTTTCAAAGCTTTTTTAAGTTTACGAAATTGTTTAAAAAGTGTGACGCTCTTTAGACTACGTATGCTAGTGTAGTTAATAATTCCATTTCTTTATGCTGTTTTTTGTGTTGCTTTTTTATCAATGCATCCTATGGCTACCTTAATTATAAGTGTAATAACTACAAAAAATTTTAGATTTGATTGTACCTAAAATCTGCTGTAACTTATGTTGCTGACACTTATTAATAAATAAATAAATACGAATTCGGTGGAACCACTGCACATATTTCGTTTGTAGTATACGGGACGTAATATACGAGTATGTGTTCGTAAATATTTACACGAGTTTTGTTTGAAAAGAAATGTCAATCTTACCTCTTTGCTGCAGTAGTTAGTCATTTTCTGGCTTTGCCATTTGTTTTGCAACTGGGCAGCATGAAATTTTGACATCATAATTATATAAAATTATAAGAGCGCGTTTCTGTTTAGTGTTTCTATAACCTTAACATTCATCTACAAAATGAACAACATATCGAAAAAGAACTGTTCCTCTTAAGAAATTGAACAACTATTCTCTGGAATTACTAATAAAAAAAACCGCCTCTTTATACACATTACTTACATAAAATCAATGTCACATAGTAAAAGAGAAAATCACAGAACTCACCGATAACGAACAAGGCACAGAGTTGAGCGTTCTCGCCAAGTCGATGGGTCCCATACACTTGTCTGGCACTTGGTACGGAGGCATTTTTTGGCACAACACAGGGTACAAAGGTTCCACCGCAATACTGCAACAAACGTGGTATTGCGTTAATAACTCTGATATTTTTTTATGTTAAAACTAGCGGCCGATCGCGACTTCGTACGCGTGAAGTTAGTTAGAAATAAAAGTTCACTGCTCGTATCCCGTAGGTGACAGCGTGATAATATGTAGCCTATATGTTGACCCGACTTCTTAATAATATTCGTGCCAAATTTGAAGTAAATCCATGCATTACGTTTTGAGTTTACCCCGGACATACATACAGACAAAAATTCTGAAAACTATATATTTTTTTTGGCTTTGGTATCGATTGTTGATCACCTCAACTATCCTTTAAAAAAAAACAATGTACAGTTTGGACTTTCCTATCATTTTATTATATGTATAGATGCTGGCAAACAAGCATAGGGCCCGCCTGCGCTTTCGACACCAAAAATATCACTCGCACCGTTGCCTACCCTGATCCAATCCCCTGCCCCGTGGCGCCATGGAACCTTACTCACCGACAGAAACACGACAACACCAAAAGGCAATGATATTTTACCGCGGTCTTCTGTAAGGTTACTTGCTCAGACGGGTGCTTCAATTCGAGCTGAAAATCCGCTATGCCTTACCTCTCTTAAATCTATCACATAGTTAATAATTTTGAACAATGGACGATTCTTGTTGTTTTTTTTATGACATATAATAATAAATTGGTTACTTTATAATCTAAAATAATAAGACTGAGATTGAGATACTAAGCTGTGACGTAAACGACGTGTAAGGGAGAAAGCAAACTGCTCTAACTATACTCTATTTTCACTCTTTATTACCAACTAGCTGTGCCCCGCGGTTTATTAGGGATATTTACCCGCAGTGAAACGAAGCGTTTGTGTTAACCCAGGGTGTCAGCTAACTCCATACCAAATTTTATTAAAATCGCTCCAGCCGTTTAGACGTAAAGAAGTAACAAAGATACACACTCACACAAACATTCGCCTTTATAATATTACTTAGTGTGATTTGAATTCTATTTTCACTGAAACATATTTTTAAATAAAAATTTAAACGCAAATTCAACTTTGGCTGTTATGCTTTAGTGTTGCCTAGCAAAAAAATATATAAATATTTACCTGGCATCAGCCTGCATGAAAATCTCAGTGTTGAGGCAATTGGCGGCTGATCCCATCACGCACACCACCTCGCCGTAGTCCTGCACCAATTAAAGTAAATAAGTAAATAATAAATATTTCCAACACTCACACCAATTAGCCTAGCCCAAAGTAAGCACAGTAAGGCTTGTGTTATGGGATACTAGGGTAACGGATAGAATACATATACAGTACATATATAAGTATATTTATGTAGAAATACGTATTAAACATCTATGACTGGAGTACAAATGCTTGTGTTCATCACACAAACATCTGCCCCCACCGGGATTCGAATCCGGGACCTCTCTAGTAGACGACACCTTGAAACCCGGCGTACAAACCACTCGGGCACGGAAGCCGTCAGTAAAAAAGAAATTACCCCATTTGATACTCAAAAATTTTTATTGATTTGACATCCTAAAATAAATGAAACATTTAATTTCGTCACTTCTCGATTCTGTTATTATGTTTTGAAATATACCTACCCAAACTCAATCTTTCTCTCAGGATTATGTGCACCCTATATTTACTTTTCTTGGCTCTCTTTCTTTGTTTTCTTAAATAATAATAGGTACATCACAACAAGAACTTCGTCGATATCCATCGTGCACAGTCGGCTCGCGTAGAGTGCTAAAACCTGTGGCCGACAACCAATTATCAACCGAAATGTGAACGAATGCGCCGACATCCGATAAATATACGGATCCGCCACCCGACAAGTGGGAACCAGCCGTAATGCGCTTACCACACGCACAAGCTTCAGCACAGTCACAAAAAACTGTACACTTTGTGCGTTACCACACGGCACAGTTAAGTACGCGCAAGCCTCATTCTTATCGAAATTATTGGCGTGGAAACAATGTTTCCTAATGAAGAAACATTTCTTATGCTACTATTTTTGAAGTGTTTGCTATTAAAAAAAAGACAACGTCAAAATTAAAGCGATCAAAGTGGACAAAAAAATGGCTGTTGAATAGTGAATTTTTGAGTGACGATGACGAACGACCTCATGAAACGACGAGCGAGCCTCGACACAAAGTACACTAGACTGTGGCTTGAACACTGAACGCCCAACCACACGCACAGACAAGTACGCGCAGGCCGGGCTTGCGCAGGCAAAATTTCAAGCAAGTCGAAAAGTGCGCAGGCCACGCTGTGGGGTTGGCGTGTGATACAGTTTTACCAACTACACGCACCGTGTTCCGTGTACAAACCGGTCTGCACAGGCAAAACTGTGGTGAAGCTCGTGGGGTGGTAGGCTCATAAGACGTGCCTATGCCGACGGAATCGGTGTTAAGGTGGGATCAGACGGGTCATTTTGTGTTCATTTTCGTCTTTCATTTTGCATCTTTCACGCCAAGTGACACGTCTAAACACAAAATGAAATAAAAGTGCCGAATGACTTCATTAGTGAACCGATCCAACATTGTTGGATATTGGCATTCGCATCATTCACTGTTCACTCCGAGTGAACGAAGAATGAACTGTCTGATCACAAAAGAGAACGTTCATTCGGATTCGGCCATTTTGTTTCGACCCTGTAACCGACGGACATCACATTGTCGACGAAGTTATATTTTTTCTGTGTGTTAGGTATATTGTTTTCATGCGATAAAATGGTGTTCAAGTGGAACGATCAAAATACAATACTTTTTTGGAGAACTTTAAAAATTATCAATGCCTTTGGAACCACAAAATTGTTGAATACAAAATTCTTTTTTGTCAACTCTTTGATTAAATGTTCACAAATTAAACTAATTCCAAGACGCACGACTTCATTCGACGCCATATTGAAAGAAACTACGGATGAATGTTCATTTCTATTTCATTCCAGAGCAGCCGTGTGAACATGGAATGAAAGAAAAATTAACCATTCACTCGAGTGAACATTCATCCGAGTGACTCGTCTGATATCACCTTTAGAATCGCAGTGTACCTGCATGATCTGTATCATGAGATGCACGGAGCGCGGGGTGCAGTCGGTGAACAGAGACACGAGTAGAGGCACGTTGTCCACCTGCTCGATGTGCGGCCGGATGTTCTCTATGCCGCGCGGCAGCTTCGCCTGTACAACAACTACAATTGCTTTAACAGTCGACCTACATAGACATATTAATATATTTAAAAAAAATACTGATTTACTTATCTCATTTTGAGCAATTAATAAGTTAAGTGAACTATGTTCTTTAGATAATAAGTAAGCATCATAATTAAATTAAAAAATGGTCTTTATATAATTTAAGATACTAAGTAGTTTAAAAGAAATAGATCCTTGTGAATGACTTTTTCCGTTGATATCATAGTTACCTGAGCCTTTTTTTTACGTTTAACATTACATTCCCTGCTCAAGCAGGTGCTTTTTCATAAATCCTTGAAAGCAGTTTTAACCATTTTTTTTAAATAATGGAACGGTTCTTTCAGTAAAATTAGCTATCATCAATATTAAGGGTACTTTTCCTCTAACCACGGAACCACGGTTCATGAAAATTGCCGGTTCTGCCGCTGCCACTGTAATAGGTTTTACTGGGCTACGGCTAAATTAGACAAAGCGCCCGTTGATGAGGACCGGCATAAGGACCGTACTTGTCCCCAAACCGAGTAATAAAGGTAAACTCCCGTTTAACTAACGTTTGATTGATAGTCGTGTGACGACGCGCACAGGTAAACACGCCATATTAATCAGCGAAACATTTCAGCGGCAAATCTGAAAGCAGTGTTTTTTATTTGATTTCGACTAGCAGCGAGTCGACGGAGCCCTGCGATGTGTTACAGATATGACGCACACAGTACCTGGTTGCTCATGTTGAAGTTGACGGGCGCCGAGTGGACGGTGGAGTCGGTGAGGCAGGACAGCGTGCGGCACGCGTCCGAGGGAGACTCCGCCCCCGTGTCCTCCCCCTCCTTTTCTAGCAGCGAGTCAGCGGAGCCCTGCGATGTGTTACAGATATGACGCATACAGTACCCGGTTGCTCATGTCGAAGTTTACGGGCGCCGAGTGGTCGGTAGAGTCGGTGAGGCAGGACAGCGAGCGGCACGCGTCCGGGGGAGACTCCGCCCCCGTGCCCTCCCCCTCTTCTAGCAGCGAGTCGGCGGAGCCCTGCGATGTGTTACAGATATGACGCACATAGTACCCGGTTGCTCATGTCGAAGTTGACGGGCGCCGAGTGGTCGGTAGAATCGGTGAGGCAGGACAGCGAGCGGCACGCGTCCGGGGGAGACTCCGCCCCCGTGCCCTCCCCCTCTTCTAGCAGCGAGTCGGCGGAGCCCTGCGATGTGTTACAGATATGACGCACATAGTACCCGGTTGCTCATGTCGAAGTTGACGGGCGCCGAGTGGTCGGTAGAATCGGTGAGGCAGGACAGCGAGCGGCACGCGTCCGGGGGAGACTCCGCCCCCGTGCCCTCCCCCTCTTCTAGCAGCGAGTCGGCGGAGCCCTGCGATGTGTTACAGATATGACGCACACAGTACCCGGTTGCTCATGTCGAAATTGACGGGCGCCGAGTGGTCGGTAGAGTCGGTGAGGCAGGACAGCGAGCGGCACGCGTCCGGGGGAGACTCCGCCCCCGTGTCCTCCCCCTCCTCTTCTAGCAGCGAGTCGGCAGACCCTTGAGAGGTGGGGATGCTGCCTCGCTGCACCTTACACGCAGTTAGATAGACGACACATTGTAAATTATAATTTTAATGTATTTTTATATTTAACATAAACTGCTAGTGTTTAAATCTAAATAAAATTCCACGCGGGGCAGACGGGATCAAACCCGCACCCTCTGGTTTTCGGCGCATGCACTATTAATAGGGAAGATGCAATATTTTTATTTTTGTTTTCATTTTAAAGAATTCCATGTAGAATAAACCACAGATATATTAAAAAATTAAAACATTGTGATTTATCGGAAAAAATGCGGTTTTAAATTGACAATTTAAATTTTCGCGCGAAAACGAACCTATGGTTGCGATGACGTCACTCTTGTCTGTCACTGGTCGTAATTGTTCGTTGCTGGCTTTAAATTTTCATACTTTTGCAAATTTTTCGACTTTCGAAATATTTTTTTGAAAAATTTAATATGGACTATCCATCAACATCATGTGATCATAACAATACCACTAATATTCCGAAAAAAAGCCGTGTTGACTCATGTTTTGTGCCAATCTACTTCAACAAAGCTCCCAAATAAATTGTTTTTGACTGGAACTTCTGACCCAAAACTGAAAAAAAAAGTGGTTTCAAGCTGCGAAGAGAAATGACAATTATTCTCCAAAGACCATTATTCGATGCTGAGAAGATCACTTTGACGTAAGTCGGCGAATATACTTGTTATATGCTTAATTATCTGCTTGTACGTAAAAACGCATTAGTAACCTACCTAATACTTACAAAACCTGTCTATAACATATTTTTAATTTTACAGTTGGAAAATGACTTCGAAAATTAGATAAAGTTTAAAATGTGTGGCACAATCTTCACATTGGCAGGACTGAACCAAGCTTTGCGTTTCATTTAAAATAACTGTAACACGATAACCTTCTTTACGTACTTTATGCTCCGGAGAACTCGACCTTTTACTGTACATAATTTTTCATTTCTTTTAATTTGGACATAGCCGATTGCATTATCGCCGTAAGATTTGTAGAAGCCGCTGAATAAAATACGAAGTTTAACAACTACGATTTTTACATACCGTAGTAATTTAGTCCCTTTCATTTCTACACTTAAAAACTCTGCACTTTGGACAAAAAAAGTTAAAACCATGTCAACGCTAACTCTTGGTAAATTCCTGGAGTCTGCTTTGATAAACGCAACTTCCATTTTTATTAAATGTAAAAAAACGCAATAAATATTCCCATAAAATAATATTTACTATAGCAACCATAACCTCAAAGAAGTTGTCATAACAGGAGTGACGTCACTAAACGCTGATTGGTGTTTTAAAATACGTTCCGTTTCAAATATTTTTAATTCGTAATAATTGTTAAAAAACAACATTATGTAAAATAAAAACGTTGCAGTGGCATTTCTTTTATATTTTTTTAACATTTTAATCATAAAATTTTCATAAATATTATATATGCATCTTCCCTATTATGCTACCGCGACCCGAATTACTTCTAGTATTTCTTAGGCTGCAGGGCCGTGTCATCTCTTCGCATTGTAGGTAGTCCACAATAACAAGCCTTATTCTTTTACAAATAGTAAACATTTGGTCAGTGCACTCGCCCGGATAGCGGAGGATGCGGGTTCGAATTCCATTTGTTTCCCGGACCGCGTGGATTTTTTTCTAATAAATTTTTAGAGTCAATGTATTTTTTTCCATTGTAAATTATTAATATTACAAATAGTAAATTAATGCTATTTACTATTTTCCCCCCACGGAAATATAGTTACGATTCAACGATTCAAAAAATACTTTATAGCCTTGCATAATAGAATAATTTAAAGCATGAAAGATCTGTTTCATAGTAGCATACCTTTATTCCGCTGTGTGTTGTGATAGAATGTCGTGCTCTCTTGATTTCATTGTCAAACTTCACGGTTGTATGCTCCAGATTGATTGCCCCTGGTGCTGACATTGACAACGCCTTCGACGATGCCATCTTGTTACTACTATTAACACAAATGATATTCAAATATCGACCCTAATAAAATATAATGATATGTTTCTTTTTCGTGTTTGAGTGATGTCTGTTGGTGTGTGAAAAGTTTAACGCAAGAGATAGAGAAAACTCTACACGAGGCTTGAGAAATTCTGAAATCAAACATTTCACTCTAATTCTTGAACATCATCAGAAGTCTACTCATAAAATTATGAACATGCAATTAAAATAAAAGGTAGAATTTGGAACTATTACTGCAAAAATAAAATATTCCAATATTGCAATGGTGAAGTTGATTTAAATATATTTTATGTACTTGTCATCATGTCATCCATTTTAACCACAGGCTACATTTTTTAGTAGTACTTAGGCTTGAGCGAACGAACATTCGCAGTGTCAACCCAAATTAAAAGATGGAATCTCTTTGTTGCGCTCACATGACGCCTGCGGTAAGCTAAGGTAAATTAAAGATTTTAACAGGTTAAAGAATAAATTATATCAATTACAGTAATCAATAATTTTAAGACATGAATAATAAACCATTTTTGGTACGAGCACAAATACACTTTACCAAACGAAGTCACAAAAGCAACATCTCTTACTCCTCGAACAAAAATAAATAATTGATGCAATCATACAACAAACTTTAACAACTACATATATCTAAAAAAAAACTAACAATCATAGCCCAATTCTTACACTAACGTGCACTAGCTACGTTATTGAGAAGAATTAAATTAAGAATAAAGTAAAAGAAGTATTAGGAAATCCTATCACGCCACAAAGCCCTCTTCATTTCACAAAAACCTCATATAATATTTTAGGGTCGCCTTCTGTATAACGCAGTTTTGCTTGAAGTTATTGTAAATAGAAAATTTTAAAGAAAGAAAGAAAAAGTATTTATCGGCCATACACGCAAATACGTACATATGTAGAAAAAAAAGAAAAAACAATGAGCAAAAAACGAAATGACAGAATGAAAGAAGAATGACCAATCAGGACCCTGCCTCAGCTTAATGCTGTTATCGTGGGAACGAATATTCCCACCATAACAGCGCTGGTATTCTGGCAGGGCCTGTAGTTTGTAAATTGTGGTTTATATTGAATTAATTTGTATATCAATACTACAGGTTCAAGTATTTTTTAAATTCTATATATTTAAGGTGTAAAGAAATGGAATCAAGTGATGAATTGCAATTCGTCGTTTGACAATTAAAAACAATACCAAAAAATATCCTGGTAGCAGGATCTACGTCTACGATACTGTTTCAAGGAAGTAATTTATTCCTATTAATAAATTGAATTAAAGATGATTTAACTCTATTTTATACACATTCACGACTGACAGATAAACGAACAGACCATGCCTATATTATATGCAAGGCTGCGAGCTCTGGAAAGCGAAGTGCACAGGTGACCTAGACAAATTGCAAACTCACTATCCGTTCGAATATTACAACAAAATTAAAAGTTTAGACAATACAATCCCATCTTGTAACGTTTGTTAACCTCGTTAATATCATACAATAAATCAATACGTTTGCGGTATATATTTTTTAGATAATAGGCTTTTTGACAGTATAAGAAAGAAAGAACCAACTATTGGCATGTGTATTAAACATGAATATTGGGAGTGATTTCATTATTCTAACAAAAAAGTAGTAATAATATTACTAAAAATCATAAATAGAAAAGTATTTTTTGATCTTTTCTCATGTAACCAACGCCAAGGATTGGCGGAGCCTAAAATGACGTCACCTGCTTGTGAACATGCTGTCAAAAGTGACATTACTTTGTACTGTTTGAAGTGTTAACAGTAGCCGTGTGACGTCACATGCCTGTGACGTCACACGGCGGCATATTTGAAGAGTTTTTACTGATATACGCAACAGAATTATAACTATCCACTTTTTATGGAGTCACTATAAAGTAATAAATACATGTTTTACCTTTTCAAAAACTTGCCAAATAGCCTATTGCCTGATTTTTATCAAATATTTGGTTTGGCATTCAAACGAATAGAAAATTTCCATTTGTTCTAGGGTCGCGGTGAGATGCAGTTATCACCACAGCTAGGCGACAGTCAAGCGCTGAGAATGGATAGGCATTAGACGTGCTGTAGCGGATAGACAAACCTATAGTAAAAGCCGAGCGGCGCGTCAAAGGTATCGATGGCCCTATTGAGCCTTGAAGCGAGGCTACGCCCCCCCGCCCCGGCCCCACCCCCTTGCGGCAGTGTTTGCGAAGACAACGGCGACCCGCTTTTACTGTCGACAACACGCGACATCAGATAATACTATGGCATTTTCCTTTGGCTTTTCTATACCCTTTCCTTGTTTAAGTTGCCGGAAAGGAAGAGGGCGATTCTGTTTTTTTTAATGGTGTTTGTCTTTTCGGCACCATTTCCTTCTTTAAGTTGCCAAAAGGACAATGAGAATTCAATTTTTTGAATATTATTAATTTTATCATTATTGTTACTATTTGAGCATCACACAGAGTCATTTGATCCTCTTTCCATGAAAGTTTAAAAGTTGGCATTTCAATGACATATGGGTGTCTCTAATTTATATTTTTTGATATTAGGTGGTAAAAAATTTAATGTGAGATACCATAGTATTGTTTTCGAGTTATTAATTCTAACCTTTCTCTTAGTGTTGCTTCAATAAAATTTCGTGTGTTTGCCGTTCCCGGGAATGATGGTGCTACGCAAGGCGTGTGTTCACTGCCTGCGAGCAAGATAAAATATGTACAAAAATGAATTCCTTTTTTTTGGCAAAGCAGAAACCAGCAAAAATTTTCGGATTATTTCACACTTGTTCACACTAAAAACCAATTTCATGACGATTATGTCGAAACCTATGTCGAGCAGTTAAAGAAGTTAATAACATCTATTTAATGCTAATCTCACTCCACTAAGAAATCTATAAGATGTAAGTTATGTCTCTATTGTTTTACTTAATAGATATTTTCAATTCAGTTATAAATATACATTCCGGCTAACTTCTTGAGCAACGACCATACACAAGGAAGCCTGCGCAGTAGCAATTTTACATACTAAAACGTATGTAAAATTACCGTAAGTTTATTTGTCTGTGGTTTTGTACAAGAAGTTGCCTGCTTAGATATTTAGTGGAGTCAGACAATACAAAATACACATCGAGATTTCTATTTAAATACTTGAAAATTAAGAACACATCGAGATGTTATTTATCTCAAAAACATATAACTCTATGACAAAAGGAAAGAATCATTATTGTTTAGTGTGATGAACGTGATTGCGTGATATGTTTAGTGGATATGAATAGAATGATTGAGATGATTTTCACACACTTTTAACTATTTTTTCTTATTTAGCGAAATTTTCAAAATATTTTTTACACGAATATTTTTTTTTCTACTTTTTTAAAAAAGTGTAGCAGTCAGTCAGTCAGTAGCCCCCCTTCCCCTAGTTTAAACCACAACCTCACTTTTTAGTTTAAATTATTCTGTGCATTTCTCACTTGGGTTAAGTAACATTACCTCGCACTTTCGTCGCTCATGAGTGAAATGTGACAGTTCCACCCAGACTCGAGGCCCATTTTCTCGCTGAACACTCGCGACCTAAGTTCGTTCTCTTTGCTGAAGTGAACGAAGCGAATGCACGCGCGCTCCAACCGCTCGATAAGCTCCACCATATCGCTCTGCGCCTGGTATTGCATCGTCACCATACCTATGAATACCTGTGACGAAAGCAAACAATAGTACATTGTTCACTGAGGGAAGAAAGTGACCGATTACCAACGAGGGTGTAGTTTACTATACACCCGAGTTGGGAATAGGAGTTTCTTTCGAAGGATACATAGTGCTTTGTACTATACCTGCGAAGAAATAAGAGACAAATTCTTTAATTGAAAATAACATTACAATTGTTAATTAATGATACTTTTGCTTGGCGGCAATACTATTGGGAGAAAATGCTGATTTTAGGTCAATTGAAGACAACTAGTAAGAATCCCTAATATTATCAAGAATATAATTGTTTTAAGGAAGCGGATATGCATCATGTTTAGACACAGTATTCAATTTCCGACTATCCAAATAAAATCGCAACTGTCCGTCCGGTTTTGGTGCCATAGTAATAGGATTATTCCAGGGGCTAATACGCTTCTCAACTACATACATGTCTAAAATCTCGTCCAATTGACGGTTCAACTCTGTAATCTTTTCTGGTGACATCATATAATATCGCTGTTTTATTGGTTCCGCATCTCCGGTATCTATGCGATGAGAAACAAGATATGTTCATCCTAACCCTTTATTCTTCGAAGATTTTTTTCAAACAGTTGATAAACTTCATTCGCTTCTACGCATGCCTTCAACCGTAGAAGCAGGATTTTCACCGCGAACAGAAATCTCATGAGTTTATTCACCTTTGTGTAATAAATTCAAAAGTAAAAAAGTAGTGTAAAAATGTAAGTCGACCAGAAAACGTCCGTAAATGTTATGATATCTACTGAACAAATAAAATTGTTTTATATAAAAAAACAACATAACACTACAAGCACAGATCACACTCCTGACAAGCATAAGACTGTCAAAGGAGCCTGAAATCGTCAAGACCCACGTTGGGCGCCAAAATGTAACCTTTAAAATCTGGTGTTAAAGAAAAACAGCTAGTTGGATAATATTTTTTTTAATTTTTTAATCATTTAACTGCTAGGTAGTTAAATTAAAAAAAAATCTAAAAAAATGAAGTTATACCAGAGGTTACAAAATGTATTTGCCCCATGTTCAATTAAAAGAAGAGAGGGTTCGTGACGATTTCTGGTTTGGGTTTGAGTGATGAGTGTATAAAGTTATATTATTTAATAATGAGTTAAAGTTAACTTAGCAAGGCTTAAAGTTAGTTATAAATTAACTCGGTGTAAATTTATTTATAAACTAAGGTTAAGTGAGCTAGGTTTAAATCTATTTAGTTCATTTTACTACTTTGGAAGTGTCTCTCGCATAAACTATTCAGTTTATAAAAAAATGATATTAGAAACCTCAATATAATTTTTGAAGAGCTATACATAGATAGCCCTCACGTATGGGTCTGATTAAATTTTTTTTTGAGTTTCAGTTCTAAGTATGGGGAAGTTTCAACAGTATAGTTCTTATAGTTTCGGAAAAAAGTGGCTGTGACATACGGACGGACAGACGGACGGACATGACGAATCTATAAGGGTCCGGTTTTTTGCCATCAAACAAATCAATGCCAGTTTTCTCAGATACAACATTAAAACTATTACCTGCACGCAAGAGATGAAGAAGAAGTTCTTTAACCGTAAGAGATACGAATTCTGTCTGAAATTTGCGGTTGCCTGTAGAACGCATATAAGGGAATTAAATCTAAGTGGTTTTGTTGTAGCCTGTTATGTGAGATTAATACACTATAGAATGATATTGACATATCAATACCATTAGTGTATGTAAGCTCAGTAATAAGTTACATAAGTTCAGCGAAGATTCTTAAGGTACTTACAATACAAAAGTAGGACTTATGACTCTAACTACGAGGAAAGGTGTCGTAGACATCACATGCTGCCCCTGAGTGAGCGAAGAAAAATAGCAGATGTATTTCTACTGGCAAAAATCAGCGAAGAAAAATAGCAGATGTATTTCTACTGGCAAAAATCGCTCAAAGTCTCATTGACTCGCCGGACGCACTGTCAAAAATAGGTATAAAAATCCCTAACAAAACCGTAAGGCGATTTGTACATTTAGATGTTCCCCAATGTGGTACTAATTACAGACAAAATTCTTTTTTCGTAAGGTCTGCTAAAGAAATTAACAAACTAGTAACTTTCCCCCAACTTGACGTATTTATAACTAAACCACAAATACTTAAAAATATCTTAGTCAGTTCTTGGTTTGCTGATTCTCAAACTGCCTAGCTTAATTAATGCATGCTTTAAGCGTCGCTTGCTGTTATATCTCAATTATCTCAAGTCTTATTACTTTCCAGTATTTTTCACTTGGCACTGCTTGTATGGTTTCAGCGACGAGCTTTGTATTGTTAGTCATATGCGAAAACGTGTTAATGGTGTCTAGATTTACATTTAGTTATAATTGCTGTTAAAAAAAACACTGTACGTTTTCCGAATAAAATAAAATAAATAAAAATAAAATAAATAATCTGTGGCTGTTTAAACAAGGAAAAATATATAATGCTCGCTCTCGCTCTCTGTCTGTTGTACACATTGATACTGCTGTTGATTTGTAATTTGAATTAAATAAATAATACTTTAATCACTTCTGTTTAATTGTTTTGACAACAAGACATAGCCCTAAGGGAAATTCTAGACAGTAATGCTGGGCAGTCGATATCACCAGAAGCTACAATACATACACAAGCTACATAAAGGAAAAATAAGCCAATAGGGTAATAAGCCAGTACCTGATTACACTGCATGTCGAAATATCCCTCGGCGTCATTCACATCTTCGTCTGTCACCTCGTTAAATAGTAGCGAATCTGGAATAGTATCACGATAGTTATCAGTTTTTTGATTTTTTTTAATAAAAAGGAATGCTTGTATATAAGAAAGGACATGGTTCAAAACCGTTAACTGAAGTCAGTTTCCGGCAATGATGATACATAATATAATTTGATAGCTTGTTTTACTAAGGACTACTTTACTTTTATATTACTATTATTATTATTATTTTTACTTTTATACTAAGGACACGCAATATTTTTTTTTGAAGAATCGCCGACTAAACTTAAATCGAGTTTGAAAAGTATACATTTTCGTAGGGATTCAGACCATCCAGTCTAGTATCGTAAGTCACTTCATATTTTTTGTCTGTGGCAGCAGCAGCTTATAATGTCAATTCAATCACTATGACAAATCTCGATCAGTCTAGTCGTGTATGATATTCGTGAAATCATTGTAGCGTCAGTGTCTTTTATGTATCTAGTACACTCCGAGCACAGAATTTAGACGCACATCAATATTAGTTAAGAAAGCTACTATATAAGATGCAAATCAGAATAAACGATACTTTGAGTTATCAAGCGACACACTGGTTGTTTGATTCCTGATCTCCCGTCACTAGGAGTTTAATTTATGACCCCGAAGTAAATCTCTGTGATTGCACATTTCAATGGGCCTTCCACCCACAAGCGGATGTCATCGATTGAAATTTCAAATTTACGGAGATATTTAGTCGCCACGGGAGAAAACACCGCAGCCAACCAGAGACCACTCGTAACTCCAGAGAGAAACTGAAGATGTACGGCACCTCCAGGTACACAGCGCGGCGTGTACAGCGCGGGACTGTCCGCCGGCACCTCCAGGTACAGGTGCGACAGGGACGGCGCTATGCCGCGCCCGTATGGCCGCGTCTCGCTCGCACACTCACCCGTGGAGTGGAAGTGTAGCGCGGGCGCGTCGGCCCAGTGCAGCGAGCGCGGTGTGTACAGCGCGCGACTGTCCGCCGGCACCTTCAGGTACAGGTGCGACAGGGACGGCGCTATGCCGCGCCCGTATGGCCGCGTCTCGCTCGCACACTCACCCGTGGAGTGGAAGTGTAGCGCGGGCGCGTCGGCCCAGTGCAGCGAGCGCGGTGTGTACAGCGCGCGACTGTCCGCCGGCACCTTCAGGTACAGGTGCGACAGGGACGGCGCTATGCCGCGCCCGTATGGCCGCGTCTCGCTCGCACACTCACCCGTGGAGTGGAAGTGTAGCGCGGGCGCGTCGGCCCAGTGCAGCGAGCGCGGTGTGTACAGCGCGCGACTGTCCGCCGGCACCTTCAGGTACAGGTGCGACAGGGACGGCGCTATGCCGCGCCCGTATGGCCGCGTCTCGCTCGCACACTCACCCGTGGAGTGGAAGTGTAGCGCGGGCGCGTCGGCCCAGTGCAGCGAGCGCGGTGTGTACAGCGCGCGACTGTCCGCCGGCACCTTCAGGTACAGGTGCGACAGGGACGGCGCTATGCCGCGCCCGTATGGCCGCGTCTCGCTCGCACACTCACCCGTGGAGTGGAAGTGTAGCGCGGGCGCGTCGGCCCAGTGCAGCTAGCGCGGCGTGTACAGCGCGCGACTGTCCGCCGGCACCTCCAGGTACAGGTGCGACAGGGACGGCGCTATGCCGCGCCCGTATGGTCGCGTCTCGCTCGCACACTCACCCGTGGAGTGGAAGTGTAGCGCGGGCGCGTCGGCCCAGTGCAGCGAGCGCGGCGTGTACAGCGCGCGACTGTCCGCCGGCAGCTCCAGGTACAGGTGCGACAGGGACGGCGCTATGCCGCGCCCGTATGGTCGCGTCTCGCTCGCACACTCACCCGTGGAGTGGAAGTGTAGCGCGGGCGCGTCGGCCCAGTGCAGCGAGCGCGGCGTGTACAGCGCGCGACTGTCCGCCGGCAGCTCCAGGTACAGGTGCGACAGGGACGGCGCTATGCCGCGCCCGTATGGTCGCGTCTCGCTCGCACACTCACCCGTGGAGTGGAAGTGTAGCGCGGGCGCGTCGGCCCAGTGCAGCGAGCGCGGCGTGTACAGCGCGCGACTGTCCGCCGGCACCTCCAGGTACAGGTGCGACAGGGACGGCGATATGCCGCGGGTCAACGGCCTACACGAACACCAGCCATTCATTATACCTTATATCGCTTTTTAACTGTAATGGTCAATAGTATAACAGTATTTTTGTTATTAGCCGGATTGCTACATTGGCGCTTACAACAGTGCCGAAATATCGGAGACTCGCAAAAAACAATATCAAAATCTTTAGCAAAAATTACTGTTATTCATTAATGTCTTATCGGAATAAAAACAGTAAGAACAAGAACTAAAACATAGAAGTAATGTTATGACATTTCAGCGTACACTTAAAGTTATTACTCATCCAAAAAGTATTAGTGGCTTGTTGGTAGGTTGCATTTGACATAAGATCGCTTTTTGATTCGGTATCGTAAAGGTAATCCACAAGGCACGCAAAGCTATCCAATTTGACATTTCTATATGGCACGCACGCTGTTCATAGTATGGCTCATAGAAAATTATATGTCCCTTTTTATAACTAACATTTCGTACACAGTGACATTGTATCTAATTCAATGATTCTATATCTGTGAACACGGAAGGAAAAAATAAAACAGACCATGACCAAATATACTCAAAGATAAATCTCGTTATGAAAATCTATTAATACTTTACTTCCCAAAACTTAACCCTTTAACAAAAATTTGTAAGCTTTCAAGAATATATTTTGCTATTCATGCCGGTACTTCACATGGCTATTCGTATTTGCTATTATCATGCTTAACAAAGAATAAAAAGGACAGACTGAACGAATACCCAAGTGAAGTGTCAGCATCAATAAAAGATGTTTATAATATCTTTGTTTCGTTACTTGTAAGCGAAGGCGGTGCAGTAGGCGGTAAGGGAGTTCCTCTGGTAGAAGTCTATGATCTTCTTTCTGTCTGAAGGAGATATGGGCGTTAAGTCCCGCCCGTTCCAATAGTCGACGCACGAGTCAAGGATGATGTCAGCCGTGCCCTGAACGGCCATAAATAAATATTTCCAATACTCACACCAATTAGCTTAGCCACAAAGTAAGCATTGTAAGGCTTGTGTTATGGGATACTAGGGTAACGAATAGAATACATATTCTGTACATATACAAGTATATTTATATAGAAATACATATTAAACATCCATGACTGGAGTACAAATGCTCGTATTCATCATACAAATATCTGCCTCCACCGGGATTTGAACCCGGGACCTCTCGAGTCGGCGACATCATGAAACCCGGCGTACAAACCACTCAGCCACGGAGTGTGCATTTCTTCGTGCAATAAGGGAGGTAGACTGGCATATGACTCGACTGGTGGTAATTGGCTTGCGATATCTTTTTTATAAAAAGGCAAAGGATGGAGAGGATACACCCATGTTTTAAAATCTTTATTAAAGATTTTGAAACAACTTAATGAGGGTGTTTATGAAAATTTATGTCACCAGTTGGCGCCACAGTGCCGCGAGGTCTTTTGTATAAAGTTTTTGGCGCGAACTAATCGAACGAGCGTTTAAATTGATCCACAGACTATGAGAACATATGCGGTTTGACGGATGAGGAGACCTTTCGTCTCAGTACTGCCACCTGGTGCCGGTCATTCCAGAAAACCGTCATTTTCACTGCTGGATGCGTGGTATTATGAATTTCGAAAAAAGAACATTGTCATGATCACGCGCGTTTCACTACCATAGCGCCGAAACTTTTGATGTATTTTTAGTTCTTAGAACGGCCCATGGTTTCAGAATCTTTTACAGAGGATTCACATCATGGGTGTAGTTATCTACACCTCATGTGTTAACCTACATTCCTGTTTAAATACCCCTCATTATACAACAGTTGCATAGATAACTATTATCTCCGTGTTACATTATAACTTGCGCTAGTATGATGGCAGAACTACACTTAATTGCCTTGTTGTGTTGTGCATCAGGGACCTCTGTTTCATACATTTAGTACGGTTCGAGTGAGTACGGGAGGAGCTCGATGGCGCAGGTGGTTAGCGCGTTCGGCTGCGATCGTTGAAGTTAAGCAACTCTCGCAGTGGTCGGTCATTGGATGGGTGACCAAAAATCTTTTATCTCGAGTTCCTCCGTGCTTCGGAAGGCACGTTAGGCCGTTGGTCCCGGCTGCACTGCAGTCGTTAGCACCTAGTTATATTTCTGACTTGACGCATTTCAATGTTTCTTAGTGTTGGAGGTTACTCCAACACTTTTATGTATCCCAATTCAGTAGAATTTACTTAAATTTAACTAACGAACTTAAGAGTGATCCCACTTTAAAATGAGAAAAAGTAACTGCAAGCTCTACAGGACTTGTAAGTACTAAAAGTCTTACTAGTCTTTTAGATTTATTTCATTTGGTGTTGTTTTAGAAACGATATGATATGGTAGCTCGTAAAACGATATTCTATCAGTCAGATACTTTACAGTGGTTTAGCGGGTTCGGTCTTCGATCGTGAAAGTTAAGTAACTTTTACAGTGGCCGGTCATCGGATGGGTGATCAATCATTTATTATCTCGAGCTCCTCCGCACTTCAGAAGGTATGTGAAGCCTTTGGTCTCAGTTGCATCTACAAAAGTTAGTACCCACTAATCCGCACTGAGCCCACGTGGTGGGTAATGGCCCAATCTCTCTATGAGGAAGTAAATGCAAAGCTCATTACAAATAATACCCGTAACAAGCAATCTGTCACTACAAGGCTGCGTTCTAAACCTACGCTCTGAGTGCAACTTTATACCCTGACTTTTCAATTTGGACACTTAAAATGTATAAAACTTATGTCATATTGGACATTTCTTGCACCTTGAGAGTAGATTTGGAACGCAGGCCAATTCTATCTAAACTATCAGAATTTGTGGATTTTCCTTGTGACTTTGACAGCTTTCTCGTTTTGTTATTAATAGAATAGAATAGAATAGAATTTTATTCATAAAAATGTTACAGTATACCTTGGTTGGCAATAAACATAAACCTTCTAAATTTGTGGGGGTGTCCCCAGATTCAAACATACAGCAGTTAAATGTCCAATAAAATGGGCCATTCGCCACCTGCGCCGCTGACGAAATAAATTCCATACTAAGGCTGATGACGATGAATATATAACTAAATAAAGTATACCTGTGTCAACATTTGCAGTTGATTGGCTTGATCCTTCACAACCACAGCCAGCATGTGTGGTAAGGGCACCTTGACACGCGTGCTCAAGTGCAGTTGGCGCACGAAACGAGTCTCACGACGAATAGTGTCTGCTTGCTGTCAAAATAAATTTTAGCGTCAGCGTTGGATTTTAAATCTAGAACACGCAGAGCTCACGATTTATAGCTGACGCACATAAATATTACTTATTAAAATTAGTATATAAGATGCAAACAGAAATAAATATTGCTCTTAGTTATCAAGAGACACACTGGCTGTTTCATTCCTCATCTCCCGGCACTAGGAACCAAATTGGTGACCCCGACGTGATGTGAACACGCAACCTTCTGATCTGACGCAACGCTGACGCTACAAAATCAAATATTATTATGAAAACCACTAAGTGCAAATTGGACTTGCACACACAGGGTACATAGAAAGAAATCAGAGATATGAAGATATCTTGAGCTATGTAAAAGCATCTTCTTCTCCCTTTAGAAAAACGTCGAGAAATTACGGATTTGATGTTGTTTAGTGTCCCAAAAAGGAGGTGGAACTAACTAAATGAACTCAAACACCTGTTCCTAGTGTTGCCGATCGACAGTCGACTATCGAGGATTAATCGATAGTCTATCGATAGCCGACCAATCGTATGACAATCGATCGGCTTATCGATAGTATCGATACTATCGATAGTATTGTTGCAGATAAAATCAACAGTATCGATACTATCAATAGTTTGTTATTAACGAACTACAATAGTATCGATAGTATCGATACTATTGCACTCATTCGATAGTATTGCCTTGTTCTGTGCTATCGATAGTTTCGATACTATCGATTGTATCGATTCTATCGATAGGCCTATCGATAGGGTACATGATTTTCGATGTAAACTGTCGACAGTTTTCATATCGATAGTTCGGCAACACTACCTGTTCCAATTTTAAATGGATAGAGAGCATTTATTGATAATACATAAAATACATATGTTTACATACAAACAAAACGATAGCGCGATTCAATAGACTATTCCTGCCATCTAGTATAAAAATGACTCTGATTCTTAACAATGTTCCTCATGAATATACCATCTAGTGCCGTGAATTTTCCGGATCTTATATCAAACATTACAGTTCCAGTAAAGCCCCTTAGGTTGAACCCTATCTTATGTATTCCACTCGCGCCTACAAACTCTCGGATGAATGCATATCTATTACTTGCATGTAATAATTTCAATGTACTCGCGAAGCATTCCAACTTAGATCTTTTCTTTTAGCACCAGCGAGGCGTCAGCGAGGCGTATTATGTCTACTATCATTTTTGTTGAAATATGGTAAAAAATACTTTTTCATTGTATTCAGTTAACAATTACAGTGAAAACTGGTGTTTTTATAATTGACACATACACATACACGTGTATGTGTACAAATAGTGTTTTATTAATAACTTTTGTTATTATCTGCGAGGAAATATAATTGGCTATTTCTTATTACAGTAATTAATATCTTCTGTTTTTGATGTGTAACATCTTTTCTCTCGCTTCCCTGCAATTTGTGGGAGTGATTTCGTGAAATGGGACGGAAGTGTGTAACAGGAAGTCGCGAAAGCGCGCGCTATTTGATTTGATTTTAAAACAATGTTCAAATGGCTTATTCCTTTTGTAGTAGGTTTTATTTCTTTTTTACTAATATAAGGTGAGGTTTCAAATGTTGCACATCATACGCGACTACTGTAAGGCTCGCTCGTTTTTAAATTAGCTGTTGGTCTTCCTAATACTAAATAAATAATCTTGATAACGTCAAAAGATATAGACGTACCAAATGCCTGAATATAGCTAGGCAATCTTGCACCGTGTATGAGTCAGCCACTGCATCTGTGAAGCCGATCTGCTTCGCCAACTCGCAGAGACAGCGCCGGTTGGTGACAGGCACGAGATCTTCGCTATAAACATTGTGAAATTAACCAAGTTATGGGTATTCGTAATACTATGATAACAGCATTTAATACTTCATAAATTGAGCTCGATGGCACAAGTGCTTAGCCCGTTCGACCTGCGATCTTTGAAGTTAAGCAACTTTAGCAATAGTCGGTCATTGGATGGGTGGCTTATTATCTCGATCTCCTCTGTGGTTCGGAAGGCACGTTAAGCCGTTGGTCCCGGCTGCATCTGCAGTCGTTAGCACTCACCAATCAAGGCCTGTGCCACAGCAGTGGGAACATTGATAGGCTTATGATGATGATGGTTTAAATATTTTAATAATTATCGCGAGCTGTAAGTCTAACGGTGGACCCAGTGCGGATTGGTGGATGATAACTGACCCAGCACGGATTGGTGGGTGATAACAGACCCAGCGCGGATTAGTCGATGATAACGGACCCAGCGTTTTTTTGGTGGGTGACAAAGGACCCAGTGCGGACAGGACAATGGAGATATGGAAAGACGCGGTCCCACTCATGCTGCGCCTCCCTCCGGAACCGTAGTCCACATTATAAGATTGGTTGTCAGAGTTCCCGTAGAGTAAGTAAGGAAACGGCAGGCAACGCACAACTGAAAAATCTGTGGTCTTTACAACCTAATATGCTAGCTATAAGCTATGGTGACCGTTTTGTCTAAACGGTAAATTGTAATATTTTTCCTTATAATAAATACCACTTTTAAACTCGCCATAGTTATAGTATTTATTTATTTGGCTTGTCAACATTTTTACACCCAACATAATTTAAAAACATACGTTATACATGAAGTTGTGCAAAAACAGTTACAGGCATACTCAACTCTTATTTCTGAAAAAAATAGTGACATAAACTAAACTCGGTATACAAACAAACCATAATCACGTTTCACAATCAATACTCGATAGCAAAGCCCGCCGAAATGCAATCAATGACGCAGCGAATAAATCAACGGCTACCAAGGACCCAGTACATATTTTATTATGTTCTTTACATATCCTATTTTTAACACTCTGCGTACCCAGGGGCCCAATTCTCGCGGCATAGATATTATATCACCTTCGATATATATCGAATGATCTGGCTTTTATCGAAGGAAAACCTTTTTGCCCTATTCTCACCATGTCGCAATAGATATTTATCTACGGATGATCAGTAGACATACATCGACTGGTAAAGAGCCTTCGATATATAAATATCTATGGATCTTGGCATGTCAATCTTGTTATTTACACTTTTTTTACCTATTATTTATTGTGTTGTCGTGTGTCTTTGCCAATTATTGTTACCTCAAGATGTTGTTAACTGCCTTCATAAATAATTAGTAAATAAAGGAGTAGGTAAACAATGGTGTCGATTCTGGCGTGATTCTCTAAACTTAAAACTTCTTTATAGAGAATGACAAGGAAACACTGTTGTCAAGTTTAAGTTTAGATTTAGAGAATCGTGCCAGAATCGACACCAGTTTATATTAACGATGAATGAATTGATTAATGTTTTCGTCAATGATTTAATAAATGACGTGATTGCTGCTGCTGTGCTAAGGCGCCGCCGTTGTGAGAGCAAGAGGGCCCATTTGAAATGAGGGACGCCGACTGAAATGAGGGACACCGACTTCATAAAAAAATTACGTTTAAACAAAAATTTGGCTAGAAATCTTTAAAGTTATGAATGACATTGGTATCGATTCTGACACGATTCTCTAAATTTAAAACTAAATTTAACATCAGTCTCTCCTTTTCATTCTGTATGGAGAATGACAAGGATACACTGTTGTCAAATTTACGTTTAGGTTTAGAGAATCATGCCAGAATCGACACCATTTTCTTATTGACGATACGGAGTTTTGGTGGGATTTCTGCGAGTGCGGTTGGCATCTTATTTTAATTATTCTAAAATTCGTTCATAGTGGATATTGTGAAATAAAAATGGTGTGATTTGGTGTTACAACCGTCTGCGCAACTGAAGAATTAGTGGAATCTTTAAAATATACGCTATTCCGGTCAAGTGGACGCGAGAACTTTATTGTAGTGTTGACTACCTCACAGAAGCTTAAAGAAAAAGCCAACTCCATAAATTTCGTGCCAAACACTCCAAGAAACATTAGAATGCGTCACACCGACATTCGAATGTAAAAAAAAAGAAGATTAATATAACTAAAGACTAGGCTTTATGGGCATTGTTCCCCTTGCCTTCCCTGAAAAGGGAGAATCTTAAATAATATTGACGTTTCATTATACATAACGTTGAAATTATATACGCATACAATTTAGGTAAAGTTGAGATTTCTTATACTAAAAAAATGTATACTCATATTTAATATGAATGGAATTTATAAAATATCATTTAGTTGCTTGTAAAATTCTGCTCTAATTTATTATTATTTTATATAGACTATGATGTTAACTTAATCGAGAAAAACGGAACGCATTCGGCAGTGAAAGAATATCTACGATAGATATAATATCATTGGAATATCGAAAATCCACGAGAATAGCATTTTTTACCATCAGTAGATATTTTCAATAGATATCCCTACTTTCGATATTATCTCGAAGCCGATATAATATCTACGCCGCGAGAATTGGGCCCCAGGTTGGTTTCAAATTTTTTAAATTAAATAATTTACAGTTACCTGGTCTGAAATTTGGTCGTGGTATATTAAAACTAATTTTACTAAGAAGTTGAGGACAGTCAATGTTACCTCTCAGAATTTTATACAGTTAAATCTGATCAGCAACCCATCTGCGTTTCCGCTATGAAACCAAGTTGAAATACTCCAAAATATCCTCATATGACATGAGTTCATCATATTCTTTTTCCCTGATGTCTAGTTAGAAAAGATAAAAACTTTTTTTGGATTCTTTGGATTTCTTATGGACGCAAGTAGTTAGCGCGTTCAGCTGCAATCTTTGAACTTAATCAACTAGCGCAGTGCTCGCTCATTGGAAGGGTGACCAAAAATTTACTATCTCGAGCTCCTCCGTGCTTTGGAAGGCACGTTAAACCATTGGTCTCGGCTGCATCTGCAGTCGTTAGCACCCACTAATCCGCACTTGGCCCGCGTGGTATGGGGCCAGCCCCAGCGGCTTGAGGCGGGCGAGTGCCGCATATAACCTAGTGTCACCCCAACTATAGTCACCTGAGCCGCGGCTCGCAGGTGAGATGTGCGCAGAAGTGCGCGTAAGTATGGCGCGGGCAGGGCGCGCACGTGTTGAGCAGCGCGGCCAGTCCCAGCGGCTTGAGGCGGGCGAGTGCCGCATATAACCTAGTGTCACCCCAACTATAGTCACCTGAGCTGCGGCTCGCAGGTGAGATGTGCGCAGAAGTGCGCGTAAGTATGGCGCGGGCAGGGCGCGCACGTGTTGAGCAGCGCGGCCAGTCCCAGCGGCTTGAGGCGGGCGAGTGCCGCATATAACCTAGTGTCACCCCAACTATAGTCACCTGAGCTGCGCCTCGCCGGTGAGATGTGCGCAGAAGTGCGCGTAAGTATGGCGCGGGCAGGGCGCGCACGTGTTGAGCAGCGCGGCCAGTCCCAGCGGCTTGAGGCGGGCGAGTGCCGCATATAACCTAGTGTCACCCCAACTATAGTCACCTGAGCTGCGCCTCGCCGGTGAGATGTGCGCAGAAGTGCGCGTAAGTATGGCGCGGGCAGGGCGCGCACGTGTTGAGCAGCGCGGCCAGTCCCAGCGGCTTGAGGCGGGCGAGTGCCGCATATAACCTAGTGTCACCCCAACTATAGTCACCTGAGCTGCGCCTCGCCGGTGAGATGTGCGCAGAAGTGCGCGTAAGTATGGCGCGGGCAGGGCGCGCACGTGTTGAGCAGCGCGGCCAGTCCCAGCGGCTTGAGGCGGGCGAGTGCCGCATATAACCTAGTGTCACCCCAACTATAGTCACCTGAGCCGCGGCTCGCAGGTGAGATGTGCGCAGAAGTGCGCGTAAGTATGGCGCGGGCAGGGCGCGCACGTGTTGAGCAGCGCGGCCAGTCCCAGCGGCTTGAGGCGGGCGAGTGCCGCATATAACCTAGTGTCACCCCAACTATAGTCACCTGAGCTGCGCCTCGCAGGTGAGATGTGCGCAGAAGTGCGCGTAAGTATGACGCGGGCAGGGCGCGCACGTGTTGAGCAGCGCGGCCAGCCCCAGCGGCTTGAGGCGGGCGAGGTGCTGCCGCCAGCGTTGATCGTCGAACTCCACGCAAAACGGTGCGTTTTGATCGTGAGTTAGATCCAAAACCTATGGCCCGAGTAAACCGCGCTTATAGTTTTGAAACAATTACATTTTATTTAATAATAATAATCATCATAATGATTATTATCGCCACCCCCCACTAGCTAGAATTTTCAGTCATACTAATAGTCGCGCTCTAAAAAAAGATGTTACCACGGCGGAGTCAGCGAATCGTCCCACGCCCGCTACGTACTTGTCGCAAAAATGCTCGCTATATCTGCGACGAACTTCACGTTAGGGACACGAGGCAATTCTGTTTCTGTGGCGTGTCACGTTGAATCGTCGTGATTCTCTCGCCATTGACTTCTAGATGTTCGACAAGTGAAAATGGAAATGGCAAGCTTTCGTATTAGTACGTTTCTTATATTGACTTTTTGATTTCTGGGATAAAAACTATCCTAATATATATAATATAATATGTTTTCTTCCAGGGATTCAACCTAAAGAAAAAGGTAAAGAGCCACTGCTCTAAACCTAATTTCATCTAAATCGATTCAGCAGTTTAAGCGTGAAAAGCTAACAGACAGACGCTTTCGCATTTATAACATTAGTAATTATTACTGATATTATTGTTACCTCTACAATAGTGGAGGGCTCGTTGTTCGGTTTCCCATCGGGGACTTGATCCAAGGCGGTTTCGCTCTGATGTCCCATTGAAGCCACCAGGCTGGTTTTGCTCGAGTTATTCGAAGCTGGACTAGAGTTACGTAGAAAAAATACTTTTTCTGCTGTCGGATTAGGCCATGATAAAATCCCCTTCTTGTCTATGCAGCATAGAGCCTAAAAGGGAAAAAGATATCAACGTTTGATAAGACTATTAATTTTTTGAGACGTCTGCACGAATATAAATGTATCAGGATTGTTGGATTTCATATTTCCACATATGACATTTTAAATAAATTGCCATTGAAACGACTATTTCGCTTAAATGAACACAGACAGCGCTCTCATATCATATCATATTGTTACGGATTTGATATTAAAACAGTAGTTAACACACACGATCTTCAATTAAACCGTTATCACAAACCTTCAAACACTTACCGATAACGACCCTAGTACGTGCACGATGTTAGCAGTCCTGCACACCATATCCTCTCTGCCCGTGACAATGTTAATGAAGGTCTTCGCCAAAGACTTAAGGCTCTCAGGCTTAAGGTTAGATTCGCTCAAGGCTTGTATGAGCGGGTCGCTGGCTTCTTCCGATATAGAACACGATTTCGGACGGACGTACTTCTGGCGCGTTTCCGAGAGAAGTTTGAACCTGGTAGTTGAATTTCTATCTGTACTATATTGGTTACCACATTTTTAAGCGAGAGTCTGGACACAAAATATCAGGCTGTTTGGAAAAGTATAGTAATAATTAATATTATTTCTGGCTCACGCACTTGAGGTTCGATTCGCTTAAAGCTTGAAAGAGCGGATTGCTATGGGTAACGCTATCGCTTACGATTTCATTTTGTTATTTCTGACCGCCGAAGGATTTCAAATGTCTCGCGCTCCTTTTTTTTCTTTTGAATTGGTAATTACAATATTCAAAAATATGAGCATGAGGTATTTGAAAACTAACAGCGGTTAGAAATCAGAAAATGAAATCGTCAGCGATGGCGATAGCCATAGCAATTCAGTAAGGCGATTGGCCCCCTGGATGTTGATTTCAACCTGTACTATATTGGTAACTACATTATTAAATGAGGATCTGCATAAAAAAATATGGCTGTTTGCGATGCTTATTTTGTTACTTAGATGAACAGTCCAATAACTATAATTTATACATAACTTGAGGAGCTCGATGGCGCAAGTGGTTAGCGCCTTCAGTTGCGATCGTTGAAGTTAAGCAACTTTCGCAGTGGTCACCGGATGGGTGAACGAAAAAAAATCTATTTCGAGCTCCTCCGTGCTTCGGAAGGCACGTTAAGCCATTGATCCGAGTTAGCACCCACCAATCCACACAGGGCCCGCGTGGTGGGTCATGGCCCAATCTCCCTATTCTATCCACAGGGAAGGCCTGTGCCCTTGCAGTGGGGACATTAATAGGTTGATGAAGATGAAACATAACCTTCTTATAGGTATATATAAATGCAACTTTTCCTGGGAGTCACACAAGTCACAGTGATTACTTCAAAGAGGATCCTGAAAAGTCTTTATAGCCGCGGAGGAGCACTCAATTCAACTGCATTGTAAATGATGCATGATCGTCTCAAGTATAAACAGAAAGCACTTTTGCAACGGGTTTCAAAGGTCCTTTTTAATATTTTTATACATTTCCCGACGTAAAGGACCCGCCCTTACAGGCTACGTTCTCACAAGTAAGCTTTCTTTGTTTCCAAAACTTTCTCGTGAGCACGGAGCCTGTTGAAAGTGTTTAATTTAATGATTTGTTTGCGAGAAAACATAAGAATTAATTATAAACAGACAAGTTACCTAGCCAATCCGTAGCAGTTGAGCGATACCCAAGCGATAGGGAACACGATCTGAAGCAGTGGCAACGAAGCGGCGATGGTCTGCAGAAAGTATATCTCAGTCCAATGTGTCACGCCGGGTAGGTGGTACATGTGTCGAATGAAACTGGCTATCACTACCAACGCTATCACCAATGGGAGAACTATTCCCTCCATTATTTTTACAGTGCACTGTAAATATACAAGTACATATATTGTTGTAGTAAGAGAAATTATTGGATTGCGTCTTTTAAGATTCAACCTTTGATTATATACACGTCTCAATCCCAATAAACCATGCAAAGAAAACGGCTCATGTTACACGCAATGTGGGCGTGACTCTAATGCCAGATTGTTTTAAAGCAGACCATTTGTGCGTGTGTAGTGACCAGCTTATCTACGATAAGTAGTAGATATTTTTGGGCAGCTTCCGTGAAGTTAATACCGTATCTAGGCGTGTGTATAATCAAAGGTTTCAACTGACATTTTCACTTGGAAAAGGGTCGTCGTCACCTTATCAAACATTAAAGGCTTGCACAGACGTGGGGCTTTGGCCGTAGATGACAAAAAACCCTGAATCGCGAAAAAATGTCCGCCGAGAGACGGACCACTTGCCACGGACTCAACGCACACGTTGGGTTTGCGAGCATTTGTAGCCCGAAAATTAAGAGAAGCGTATGCTATAGGAGCACATTTTCTGAGATTACTCTGTTTTGTAATTAACATGAACTTAAAGTAAAAGATTGTCCTCTCCAAAGTGCATTTGGAGAGGCCTATGTCCAGCAGTGGACAAAGATAGGTTGATGATGAAAGTAAAAGAGAAGACGTTTTAATACTGGGTCCGTCCCTTTATATCAACTGAATGCGGGTTCACAACTAAAGTCGATCAATAGCAGAAAGCCATATCTTTTGTGGGCAAAGCAGGCTTTCAGAACCTATTGTGTCAAATATTTCTTGATCATGCACCAACTCATAACATGGTTTTAGCAAATAATGTGGAAATATTGATGTATAGCCAAGATGAACTTACCAAATACCTTTGTTTCTCAAATACGGTGACTGGTCTACTTGTGGCTTGTTCTAATGCCAGTTTCAGATTCTTTAAATATGGAGTCTCACACATTCTGTATGCTTTGTTCTGGTGAGGTGTGCGGATACGAGGTGCAGTAAAATGTTCTTTTGGCTACAAAGAAATATGAAATAATTGTATTGTGATTTTTAAGCATTAAAATGCTAGATTCATAAATCTATACAAAATTTTACTACAAACATCTATTCGGTCCAGGTATCAGACAGGAGCCTGGTTCAGGTCAGTGGTAGCCATTATATATAAGCCGATATGCTCAGATTGCTTTACGAAAAACGCAAATCCACTGCTGGTTCAAATTCATTATTATAATAATATTATAAATGTTAAAGTTTGTATGTTTGAAACTCATTCATGCAACTTACTACTACTAACGGATTTCGATAAAATTTGGAGCATAATAAAATAGTGCATTGAGACATAGGATAGTTTTTATCCCGGAAAAGTGTCAGGTTTCTAAGGGATTTTCAAAAAACTAAATTTAACGTAGATGGGCAGCTTCTGACAAGTAATTGTAATTTAACACAAAATAAAATTAAGTATCTTATACAAATTGTTAATTTGTTAAGCTAACCATGTCAACAAAGTAAGAATAGTAATTTTAGAAGCTTTACACTTGTACACTGTCTCATACTTGGACTGAATGTTTTTTTTGGTGTTTTCTTTAGATTAATAATATGCAATAAAATTTACAAAAGCAGTCAGCTTATGAACAAACATTTAATAATAATTTTAACTTTTAACTCCAGTTTAACATTCACCACGCAAATTGTGTGTGCATTTGAATTAAAATCAATGTCTAAGTATCTTAAATAGTGATTGATCTAAACTTAGTTTTAAAGTTTATGTAACAGCAAACTTCTTGAGATTATCACAGACAAAAAGACTTGCACAGTAGTTGTTTGTGTATTTACACAAACGACATAGAAACAAAGGTACAGTTCTACACTTCAGTACTTCTTAAAAGCTACGAACTGACGTGTCCAACCATTGTACCGAAAGGCCTGGGTAGAAGTTCCTGGTGGGGGCCAGAACTTGAAAAACTACGTAAGGAACTCAGACACTTTTCAACCGAGCGAAAAATACCAGAACCAGTGAGGACCGGGACTGATATAAATAACACAAAAACACTACAAGAAGCGAATCAGATTCCGGAGTAGGGAAGAATGGCGCGACTTCTGTAGTAGTGTTAATTCAACAAATCAAGCTGCCAGACTTAAGAAAGTTCTTCAACCTCCTTGGGTCTCTAAAAAGGGAAAATGGCAATTACACAAAAACAGAAGAATAAGCCACTGCGGTGCTACTGGAAACCCACTTAACAGGATTCCAACCGGCGCCTGGCCTTGAGTGGCTGACTGAGCACCACAATGCACCAAAAACCCAGGAATGGGACCTGGCAATAACAATAGTAACGGCGGAAAGGATAGAATGGGCTCTAAAAAGCTTTCAACCATTTAAGACAGAAGGATTAGATAGTATCTTCCCGGCTCTACTACAATGGCAACTCGGCCAGGTAATTAAATACCTACAACCAATCTTAAGGGTCTGCCTGGCCTACAAGTATATACCGAAAAAATGGAGGGAGGCAAAAGTAGTCTTCTTACCGAAACCAAGCAAAGACGACTATACACAAGCCAAATCCTTTAGACCAATTAGAATAAACCGCTTTCCTTTTGAAAACATTGGACAGACTGGTAGACCGACACCTTAAGGATGGAGCTCTTAGTAAGACTCCGCTGCACCCTCAACAACATGCCTACAGAAAAGGCAGATCAACTGAGAGTCGGCACTGCATTCGGTAGTCCACAAAATAGAGTCGACAATCACAAACAAAACCTCAATACTGGCAGCCCAGCCATAGACATAGAAGGTGCTTTTGACAAAACGATGATAGTAGTGGACAGTCTTCTAAGGAGTTTGAATGACAGAGTACTACTAGTTATGCGGACAACCTAACAATAGGCTAGTTGACCCTTTTTGGAAAAAGGTTTTAAATGGTTAATAAATGTTCTATTAGACCGAAAAAAAATGTATTGTATTTTTTTTAAACCGAGAAAGCTACAAATCTTTAATTTTAAAATAGACTTTTCATGGACATACAAAAACGCTGTCGGCCATTTTAGTCTATAGATTGTCTATGCTATGACGTGAACAGTGGTAAACAAAAACTCGTAAACACGTAGAAAATTACTTTTAACTGAGTTTTTAATAAAAAAAAACATGATTTCTAATAAATACCACGAAAAATAAAGTAATTATCATTACTGTATTGTACGAGAATATAGAAACACATCCTTGAAGACTCCAGGAAAGTTGTGGATTAAAGTGCCGAAAGAAATTAACCTACGCAACTTTATTACACTTATTCATATGTTGTATCAGTTTTATGTTTATTACTACATTGTAATACTAAATGCACGGTACTTACATAGATGCCTTGTCGTTTCTCTGCTCCGCAGAGCAGACATCGGGGTTTAGTGCAACAAATTCACCAACCATCAATGCGTCAATTCTTGGCAGATTTGTGCTTTCTGCTTTCACAAAGCCGGCATCCATAATTTGTTTAGTCAAAAAAAACTAAATTTACTGTTTTTTTCTTTCCTAAAGTTAAAAGTGTTTTAAGATAAATTTAGTCAGACGAAAGAATCCACCTACAGTAACACGCGAATGACATTTAGTTGTTTACCATAAAAGACGTCAAAATCATGGCGAATGTGGCGAACAGCGTTTTTAGTGTTTAAAAAATAAAGACTAAAAAATATTTTTTAAAATTAAATTTCTACAGCAATCTTCTGCTTTTATGAAGTGAAATCGATATATTAAGGTTCCTTAGACTAAACACTTTAAGAAATAAACATTTATTTAATACAATTCGACATGAGTAAACTAGCCTATTCTGATAAATGGGAACGCTGAAAATGTCCTTTGTAAAGTTATGCATTCTGCCCTTCAGATTGTGGAAAAATAGTGAAATCCAATCTCCAAAGTCTACAACGCTTGGCGAGCGTAGCAGCAACTGGATGCATGAGAACAACTCCATCGGCTGCATTAGAGTACCTCCTGAACTTAAGACACCTAGACCTGGTCATACAAGAAGAGGCGAAAGCAGCAGCCTTGAGACTAAGGTCTCTGGGCTTATGGAGATTAAACACTGTAACAACACACTCCAATATTCAACAAACGTGCATGAAGGAGATCCCATTCCTGGAGGCACCCATGGATAGAATATTGGGTCAACGCGTCTTTGATCGAAGATACGACATCCAACTTTCCGCGGAAAAGGCAGATTATATACACAGATGGCTCCAAAATCAACAGTGGTACTGGAGCCAGTGTCTTCTCGAAGGACCTAAATATAAAAATATCTACAACCTTAGACAAACTAAGCACAATCTTCCAGGCGGAACGTATTGCCATTACCAGAGCAGCACAGGCGGTTGCAGCCAGAAATATCAGAGAGTTTACCGTTAAGATCATCTCTGACAGTGCAATACAATAAACTCTGTCCTGGTAATGGAGTGCCACAAGGCACTTCAACCCATTGCGGTAAGCAACACGGTAACTCTGCAATGGATAAAAGGACACAGCAACTCAACTGGAAACAATGCAGCAGACGAACTGGTTAAGAGAGGAGCAGAAACAAAAGTGTAAGGTCCGGAACCTTTGCTGCCCATACCTCAGGCCCAAATTAAAACGTGGCTGCATGACAGAACTCAGAAATCACACTTGACAGAGAGGAAAACAGGTGAAGGATGCCGGCAAACGAAAAACGCAGTTCCGGCGGCAAACAAAAGACCGCACCCTTACCAGACCAAATAGGGACGACTTCTCCAGTAGCCAGAATCGCTTCCGGAAGCTTGCAGCAGTCTACTAAGGCTGCTTTTCTTCTGTACTATTATAGGCTTGCCGGAGTAAATGGGATCGTTTCGAGACACGCATAATGGTCCAATAATTAGGACTAAGTAAGAAAACCACCCTGAAAAACTAAACTAAAAAAGTGTATTAAGAATTGCTTACAAGACACTGCTGAGGCTTGTGTTCTGGCTCAATGTTTCATTCTCAAGAAATTTGCTGAATTGTATAACCCATATGTATACAGTAAATCTGAATAATTTAAAAAAGTACACTACCTGAGAAGTAGGTTGAAAGATTTGTCCAAAAAATAATTCTGGGTCTTCAGGCTGCAATCCTTTACAGTGGCCAGGCACCTCCTGTCCTGGTCTTAGAACTATGATGTCACCTTCCACAAGAAGTGCCCATGGCAGGTTTACTATTGTTGCTGTGAGTTAAACATTTATTTGTTTAAACATTAAATTAAACAATATGTAGAATAATGATAAAATAACAATATTATTGTGAAAATATTAAGTATGACTGTGATGATACTCTTTGCTCATTTCTTTAACTTATACATATACAATTCTCATGTCACAGTGTTTGCAACAAAACTCATTTGAAACAGCTTGACTGATTCTTATAAAATTTTGTGTGTATATTCAGTAGACCTGAAAATAGGATGTAAACTTTTTTTCATACTTCCTAAATGATATGGTTAGTCAAGCCCATTTTTTTTTATTTTCTAAACAATACTTTATTTAGGATTCAGCATAATAATACACACAACCCAAAATTTTCACCTTTTACCCACCAACCCCTATATTTATGGGGGTACAAAGTTCACTGGGTCAGCTAGTTATAATGTAACATCAAAGATACTGAATAAAAATCTAAAGCAACAAAATATTGGCATATCTATAAATTATTCTCTCTCTGTATTTAACAAAAATACTAATGAAACATTACAATTATATTATATTTTTTTAATTTATGGGATTACTATTGTAATCAGATTTCAATTAAATTTAATGATCCATTAAGTCAGGTTGTCTCATTCTATTTAAGCCCACAGAATATGGATTCATCAACATTAGATAAATCTCAGCTGTTGGTGCTCAATTGGATTGTATGTTGGGCCCGTATTAAAAAATCATTCTCAACTCTATGATCTTGAGATACTGTTTTCATACAAAACAGCATTTCAAGATCATACTCAAATTCGCTCTTATAGTTGAGAGCAATCTATTAATATGGCCTTAGTGGTGGTTATGTCATCAAAGCAATAGTACCATAGCAATTGTAACTATACAAACCATCTCTGTAAGTCCATTGGAGAATTACACAAGGAGAAAATGGAGCACATAGATGAGGATAGTGTTCTTCTTTCCATTTTGCTTCCTCTATAGATTCATCTAAGTTTTCTAAAAAAAAAGCTATATTCTAATTAGTTCTTACATGACAGCTTTAAAATATGATCAATGTCTAAAGCATTACCTAAGACTTTCTTCACTCTATGTGGTATTTCATTTCGATATAAATATTCCTCATTAAAAGCAATTAAGAGGTTAATTATTAATATGAAAAATATAAAAAATGCTTCCCAGAGTAAATATGCATGAGCCTGGACCGATTCTCCTAAAATGTATGTAAGTATGAGGCATACAATGTATATTAATGTAATTGTGTAAGCAACCCCAGACAATAACACCTTCTCAGATGAAAATGATATAATATTCCTCAATATTCCAAACCTGCAATCACATAAAAAAATCGAAATAAAATATTATTTTGGTAACTAAACGTTTAGTAGATGTTTCATACATTGTAAAGTAATTTTTTAACTAGGTAAATGATTGTAATGTTATTGATTATGAAGTTAAAGGCTAATATGTGAAATAGATTAATTAGAACAATACCTTGTTGGACTTTTCCGCTCGTACTCTTTTACAACAGTACGAATATCATCACGTAATTTAATTAAGGCGGCTTTCGTTGAATATCCTAAAATATGTTGAGTGGTATCATCCATTTTAAACAAAATAATTAACTAATTTATAAGGTGTATGCATTATGTAGTTCAATATTTGTTTTTGTCTGTGGCTTTTTCCGTATTGTAATATTTATAAACACCACTTTGATTGCAAGAGACAGAACGAATCCCACAAAATTCTCTTCGCGCAAACATTTGACTTTTGACGTTTTGACATTGACAATCACAAAAATGACAAAGGAAACTTAATTCCTACGACATTGTTACTTAAATAAAAACATAAAATTATACTATTTTTTAATCTATCATTACCCACTTTTATAAGCTGTCAGAAAAACTATGAATGAGTAATTTTTCAATTCTTTATTTTCAAGAATTTTACTAAAGTTTTGGTTTACATTGTATGGCTGCAGAAACATAACTTAAAATCATTGAGAATCTATCAAAGCATAAAATGGATCGTCTGTCATGTCATGGCAGCTATCTTCACTCCATTAAATTTAAATAGTGACGCTCTTCTGTAAGTCGATAGTAAAGCATAATATCAACAGTGGAAAGGTAAAATCGCTTATTCGCCACTTTGGTTCAAAATGAGTTATACATATATATTGTTTTAATCAGTTTTTTGTGCGTCGATTTCTTTATGTTTCGTGAAGATTTGAGTACTTTTTGGTACTAAAGCAACTAAATTTTTTGAAGATTTTTATTGTTGTTCACAACGCTGAAGCGACATAAATTTTGGTGTTTTTGGAACCAATGGCGCTTAAGTAATAATCACTCGGTCCGCCATACATTTTTTGGCACGCAAACATCAAATCATACACCATATAGTAGGGCGCTATTTGGCGACATCGAATTCGTAAAGGCACTATGTAACTTTTTAATAGCAGGATATTTTGAAAATATTATTTTATTAATATATTTTTATTTATATGGCACTAAGTACTTCTCTTTACAATGATTCATGTTTTTTGAGAATAAAAACTTTGTTCCACGTTGTAATGTATACTCTTTTATATTATAAACCTAATCTAATTTAGTGTCATTTTAATGTAAATTTAAGTCAATCAACTTTCTTTACTAACTTCAAAATAAACACCATCAATGAACAGACGTTTTCTTTAATTTTTACAACAGTTACTGAAGTGGCGTTTAAGCTATTTTACTTTTCCACTGTCGATATAATTTGAAGACAATACTCAAAAATTTTACATAATTTTCGTGGCAAATCTTTTATTTCATTATGGTATCAATATACATATAAATATAAACAAGTTTATATAACAAGTCACAAAACAGTTTATATGGGTTGCAAAAGTTGGGATTCGAAAAGAAAATTATATAAATATTTTATAATTATAAATTATAAAAAAATCATCTTAATTGGAATAGAATCGTTGTGTTGCTCAGCTAGCTGATAAGTTCAGTAGTTTAAGCCATAGAAATAATAAAACAAATATTCTGATGGAGACATTCTAGTTACCTACACATCTTGTTGTAACTTATAAAAGCATCCGAATTTTGAAACTTTATTGTGTTTCACACACTAGGTGTTTTTCAAAAATGTTCCTTCAAACAAACCTTTTCATGATGCTAAATGAACACAACAAAAAAAATACGGCCAAGTACGAGTTTTTGTACCAAATTGGATTAACACACGGAGAAGTTCCGTGCCATGTCTGTCTATATAATATTAATTTCAATATTTAACATCAAGCAACAAAAAAGCAAAAAAAAAAACACATCTGTTGTATGGGAGCAGTGATGCCAGTCCTACGGATATGTCCGTAGATCTACGAAATTTAAGTCCTGTCTAAATACATACGAGCTTTAGTCGCAAATCTACGGATTTTTTACAATTCCGATTTCAACCACCAAAGAGTCAAATTCAATAAAACTGCGTTAAACGAAACGTAACTCCAAAAAACATCCTTCAACTTCGGTTTTTGCTAGGAACAAGAACTTAAATATAAAAGAGTTTAAATTCAACTCATATATAAATAAAATAAAATAAAAATCATTTATTTGAAGACATGATCTCATATAATTATGTTAGTAACAATTTTTCTTAACCTATATTAGTATTTTATTACAATTTCAATCATCATTATAACATATTTATATAGTAATCTTATTTTTATTTATGTATAGACCATAAAAGGGGCGAAATAATAACAGTGTGTCTATCACTAAACAAACGTCAAATAGGCTATTTGTCAATATAAAAAATAAAGTGCCTATTGTAGGTATCTGTATTTAATATGGATATAAGCGATTCTACTATTCGGGGAGCACAAATAATTAAAATAAAATCTAAAATTCTTAAAAAGAAACGAATTTTGTTCTATGGTCACTTGGCCAAAAAATCCTGTGAATGGCGAAAAATAAAATGACGTCACACGCTAGTAAACTTCCGGTCAAAGTGACATTACATTGTATCTTTTAACGTTTTAACCCTTTTTGTTTTAATCTAAGTTTTAACGACAGTCGTGTGACTTCACATAGCAGTAAGGCGCCATAATTCTTAAAGAAACGTTTTCGCGGCAACTTTAAAATATTATTTTTGATTTAGTTTTCTTTACTGAAATACGCAACAAAATATCCACTTTTATGAACTCCATAAACATTAGTAAATAACGTGAGATCGTTTTCTTAAATTTGTTAAATAACCTATTGGTATCGATTCTGACATGATTATCTAAACCTAAACTTAAATTTGACAACAGTGGTGTCGATTCTAGCATGATTCTCTAAACCTAAACTTAAATTTGACAGCAGTATATCCTTGTCATTCTCTATACAGAATGAAAAGGAGAGACTGATGTTAAATTTAGTTTTAAGTTTAGAGAATCACGCCAGAATTGGCACCAGTGTATTCTTGTCATTCTCTTTAAATTTACAGAATCACGCCAGAATCGACTCCATTGTATACCTACCTTGTAGATACTTTGGTTACCTTTACTTTACTGAATAAAAAAGCGATCTAATCAAATGCAACCTGCTAACACGCCACTAATATTCTTCCTTGGATAATACTTTTAACGAATTTTTTTCGTCTATGAGAGTATACGCTCAAATGTCATAGTATTACTTCTTTGCTTTACTTACTGTTGTGAGGTTTTTTGTAATAGTAATCTCTGCCATGCAACCATTGGCTAAACGAAACTATACCAAAGAGGAAAAAGAACTGCGGGCTAGTGCATTGTAATATTAATAAATTATTTTAAGAATATAGTGAATATAAAGCAAATATAAGTAAGATATAAAATACAATACAAAGTATATACAGAGAAATAGATCAGGCAGAGCTCAGCTTGATGAAAGTCCCTAATTTTTATAACGAAAGCCTCTTGACAGTTGTAACTTGTAACAAACATTTCATCAATCGATAAATTACGGGATGAAGTGCCTTTCCCATCACTACATCGAATAAAGTGAAGTTGGCGATTACGAGAATGAGAATCGTCTGAGTTTTTTCTATTTTATGTAAGTACGTTCTATGCGTAATGAATTTTCACAATAGTATTTTACATAGTGCGGGTTGAGCGTTGTATTCAGTTTTCAAAATAGCTATAAATTAAAAACGATAAATTGTTGGGTTCGTGTGTAACGTGCTTCTAGTCAGTCTGTGTTTGTCATCCATCAAGTTTGGACTTCAGTGCGCCATTGCAGTTTACTCCACAATATAAAAAACAACTGGAATGTGTTGATTCTCTGGCTCAATGTGGTTAGAGCAGCGAGTACTTTTATTAGTAATGGAGTGATACTTAAATATTTTGCAGTTATGGCAAATCAATGTTATTCTAAAAAATCTAAGTGTAGTGGATTGAAAAGAGGCCCGCAGTACGGATTATGGATCTTGTGCACCCTCATAAAGTGTTTTATTAGTTTACCTTGTATATTTTCATCATGTCTTGGAGTGGACTTATCCGTTCGTATTAAACCTGAGGGGGAGGTGCGAGTACGTTACGGTGATCCTTTGATAATATATTGCATAGTTGAAAATAATGAATTTACCAGCTACACATCTCAAGATCTTGAGTTTACTTTGGGAAATCAACGTGTAGAGTCCCAGATTGTCAATGATACCACTATACAAATGTATATAGAAAAACCAGAGAAACAACTCAAAGCATACTATTGCTTAAATAAAAAAACTAGGAAAAAATGCACTACCAGAGTTCTTGTTGATACACCACCCTTGAATGTCACAGATTTTAAATGTGTCTCGAGGAACCTTGAAGTTTTAAATTGCTCTTGGAGTAGTCCGTCAAGTGTTCTCACCATCAATTATTCCTTGACCTTCCTGGTCAATGGTAATGTTGTTCCACCCTGCAAACCAGATAAAACTAGATTGTATTGTACATGGAATACTAGCAGTGAACCACGATACAGACAGCAAGAAGATGAATATTTTTTCATATTAAAAGCTTCTAACGAATTTGGTGAAAATAACCAAAACTTCACTATTGATCATTTTGCAATAGTGAAACCAGACAAACCGACACATTTGACACTCTACACTGTAAATCCTCACAGTATTGTGCTGAAATGGAACATTCCCAATACTATGGCAAATCTCCTTACTTGTGGTGTTGATCATAGAATTGAGTATCAAATTGCTAAAATTGATAATAAGACTCATTTTCATAGTGTTGATGCATCTGGATTACCACCTAATAACAAAACTTATAAATTCCTATTGAAGGATCTACCTTATGCTTTTATGCCATATGAAGTAAGGATATACATAAAATCAAAAAAAGCTGTGGATGAAGAATTTTGGTCAGATTTTACCTTTATTGTGTTTAATACTGCCAGCGAGATACCTAGGAGGCCACCGGAACTAGTAGCTGGCGTTTTTAGTGAAGCAGAATTTCATGAACAAAAAATGATTTGGGTTTACTGGAAACAACTTGAAGAATATGAAGAAGCTGGACCAAATTTTACTTACAAAGTTCAAATCTCACAAAGCAATGTAAATAAGATTTTGTATCCTGATAAAAATAAAAGTTTGAGTTATGTTGAACTTACTGCACCTTGGGAGCCAATGGAGGTCACAATTTGGTCAAAAAATGAAAAAGGTATATCGGAAAACAGTAGCCACCTGTACATACCATCTAAAACTGATAGCAGCCTGAAGGTGACCACTTTCACTCAGTTAGCTTATGAAGGTGGAACATACAAACTGTCTTGGGTTGGTAAAGAGAAAATTAATAATTACACTTTATTCTGGTGTCAGTACAATGTTACACTTATTTGTACTGGTCGTATGAATTTTACCATTTTAGATGCAACTAAGAATAGCTATGAAATAACACTGCCTAAAGATCATAGATACCAGTTTGCAATTTCTGCAAATAATGGTACGAGAACAAGTGGCCTAAGATGGGCCACTTGTGCAATATCAAAAGATTCAATTCCAATGTATGGTTTCCCAGTAACAGTAAAAAATGATGCTCCAGGAAAATCATTTGTAAGAGTCACATGGACAATGACATGTTCATTGCAAGAAAGAATAATCACAGGCTATCTTCTAAAATATTGTATTGTGGTGAATACAAGCAATTCTTGTGACCCGACTTTTGAAAAAAAATCGATATATATACCAAATCCTGAGCAAATGAGTGTAAATATTACAGATTTATTACCTCATAAAACATATTTGTTCACTTTAGATCTTAATACTACTTATGGATTGAAAACTGTAAATGCTTCAAGAGCTATTACTACAACAGAAGATACTCCTACAAGCCCAAGAAATGTGTTAGTTACAGATGTCCAAAGTAATTCTTTGGTAATATCATGGGATCCTCCAAATCCTAGAAATGGTATAATTGGACACTATGCCATATTAAATTATGGAAAAGAAATTTACACTGATATGGTTGATGAAGATAGTAAAGATGTCATGAGGAGAAATGTTACTCTGAAATATCTTATTAGCTTTCAAAATTATTCATTGTCTGTACAAGCTTGTAATACTGGAATACATAGCTGCTCTAAATCAAGTCCTACAGAATCTATTTTTGTTAGAACTAAAATAGGAGCTCCAAGCAGATTGAAAGCACCTGTAGTAAAAAATAGCCCAGACATGCTCAAATGGGAACCACCAGAGATAGCTGGAGGTACTGTAGATCTATACCAAATAAGAAAAATTAAAGATGACACTGACCCTGAAATTGTAAATACTACTAATTTGTCATATCAACTTATTCTTTGCCAAGGTGTCATAGAACAAGAAACTTACCAAGTTAGAGCTGTGAATTTTGATTATGATGGTGATGTGATGGCTGATACAAAATATGTCACTCTATCAGATAAAATAGATAAGGAAAATATTGAGCTTGCTGGTGAATGGAGTGAGCCAAGTACAGTTACTTGTAGAAGCAAAGATGGTCTTACTGTGACATTAATTTTTATGACTGTTTTTGCTTTACTAGCTATGGGATATGGAAGTATTAAATTATATAAGAAATATCGAAAGATGGGTGACATCAAACCAGTTTTACCTGATGGGTTGAATATTCCTGAGAAGGATTATAAATTGCCATATGGAGGTTGGAACCCATCTAGCAAAGATGAAAAGTCATCTTCAGATGAAATTCTGCTGTTACCTAATTCAAAAGGAGTGGTACCATCCCCTGATGTCAAACAAAAAGACAATAGTAATTGTGGTTCAAGTGACCACACTGACAGTACAGTTTTGTCTGACACCTCTCGTGGTCCTGTTCAAAGATTAGCTTCCACTTCAGAGGAAAGCTCTAATTCTTCACTTAATTTAGAAGTAGATACAGTTAAAATTGACGAACACTTGCCACATCAAGATGGATATTCATTAGATAATTCCGATGTTGAAAGCTATCGTGAGAATTCTCCATACTTCAATGAAAATTTTGGAAAAAGTCATGCACCTGTTGTAAATCCTTCCTCTGGATATGTGGAGTCAGTTCCTACTATGATGAAAAATCTCCCTCCAAAGTCACCAGTGCAGCCAGCTAGTTCCAGTTATGTAATGGCCAGTCTTTCCCCACCAATATTTACGACCGGCATTGTACCGCCTAATATAAGCGTTCAATCACCTACCTCATCAGGATACATGCGTCATGATGATGCTCAAATTAAGTCATTAATGAACTTACCAAACATAGGCCTGTCACCTACAAAGGTGCTTGGTCCTGAAAGCTTGCCTGCTATGCCTAGCTTGCCACAACCAGCGAAACATGGTCCAGATAGCAGTTATATTCAACTGCAATCTTTGGATGCCATACCTAGTCTTAAGCCTACTGTGCGTAATGCAGTGCCATTAAAACCGCAAGCAAATAGCGGTTATGTTAGTCCTAATGATCCCATAATTAATAAGCATCTAAATTTAATAAATTCGGGTCAGCCAGTGGAAGAGTCTGCCATTTTAGACCCAACGATGTCACCTGACGCATACTGTCGGTTCTCATGGAGTACAGATCCAGCAAAGGATAATCTTCAATCAATATACTCACCTAAAAATTGAGTAGTTGTGTACAATAACAAGTGACTTCGTACTGACAAAAATAATTAGTGGACTGATTAGTAAAATTTTAGTTGATCTTTAGAAGCTTTATGTAAAATTACAATATTTGGACAAAATGTATACACAAGAATGTGAATGTGTTAATATAGTGATAGTTCTTGTGCCTTATTAATTTATTTTAGGAGATTTACAAGAAACTTGTAGGTAAGGATAACTGTATAATTTATAATTAAGTTTTTAATTTGGAGAGTTAAGATCTATAGAGTTTATTATGCTCAAAGGGTTCCCTAAAGATTATTGCAATCAATGAAAGCGGTGAAATAAAATGAAGATCTGTTTACCAAGGATGTTTTTATATTTTTTTTATGATTTACATAAATATATTTTTTGCAGATAGAGTGATAAACAATTATGGAGGGTATTTATAAAATTAAATTGATACCTACTGACCTGAGTACAGAAGAGACCATACTACAAATTGCTGACACCCTCGACAATTTGAATGGCGTAATCGATGATATCTACACTCGAATGACAAATAGGATCAAGCAGAATGTTGACAAAACAAACAAACTTAAAGATCGAATAGAGGTTTCTAGAAAGAAAGTTGAAAATGTGACGGGCATGCGGAAAGCTATCAAAGTGTTTTCTAGTGCAAAATACCCGGCAGCCATTACTCACGAAGATTACCAATCCATATTTGATTTAAACAGATACTGTCATCAACCACAAGATATAACTCTGAGTGGGAAAACTCAGGGGCAATCTAATGAGAAAGGAATTCAGGTAATTAGAGTAGAGGTTTTGATTTGTTAAGATTTTTTGCATGTAAGTTTCAATTGGCTCAACTCTTTTTTGTTTTTAGGAAAAACTCCACTTCTATCATGTTAAAATTGCATCACCCAAGACTACAGTGCCCACACCAGATTTTGATTTAAATGCTGTCGTAGAGAAAATACAAACTGTTGGAGAACTGCTAGTGTTCAATACCAACGAGAGTCCATATTTAAGGGCTCCGGAACAATTGCCCACATACATTCCAAAAGTGTCTGATGTAGATAATAGGTGTTTACTGGAAGATGCTCCATCGTCAATAATGAAAAGAGATGTTCTGAAGAGAGAGCTCGATGAATACATGTACACCCCTGGCATGGGAATGGTAAAGTCTTTTTACACTGTTTTTGAAATCTTAACATCCAGAAACTATTGACTGCTTTGACTGTCGTTTATTAATTATTCTTAAAGTACCTAAAATTTTGAACTGGGCTTGTATTGTTAACGAAACAAATGAAAGTTTTTTCTTTGTTTTGTCATGAACAGGTACCGGAGCTGGAGATGCCTTTAGACCTGCCGCATCTGCCGGGCATAGCGGGCGACGTACAATTCTCTATCACGACGGAGGGGTCGATCGCGCCCTCCGTGGTCACATCGCCCGTGGCGCCGGTGGTAGCGTTGCCGGAAGTGGAGCTGCCGGACTTTAAGGAGTTGCCGGACGTAAAAGAGCCTGCGCTGGATGTGCCGATGCCGGATGTGCCGGTGCCGGTGCCGATGCCGATACAGCAAACCGCCGTATTGTTGCCGCCGCCTCCACCGCCTCCGCCGCCGCCACCTCCTCCACCTCAAATGGAGACGGCACCTCCACCTGAAGCTAAACGGTGAGTTCTTCATTCTAAATTTAAAAATCTTTATTTTTTTGTTTTGTTGTCATTCATAAAGGTTTCTTCTGAATGTCGGTGAATAAAGATTTGGATTCCCAACACACAGAACAAATATATTTTTGAGCATTTATGGTACCTACTACTAAGGCATGCAAAACGTTACAAAATCATCCCTATCTTTTGTTATGCGTATATCATTCAAGGTATTCAATATAAAAAAGTACTAAAGATTTTCTAATTATGAACTGTTTTTCGATACCTAGTCCAGTCAATATTCCAGATTTTCAATATTACCGGTTTCAGATTTACATAATACCTTTTCTGTATGATATCATCTGCCTTATTATATTGACAAAATCATACTGTTTAAAAACCATGACAAATAACCAAAATAAGCTTTAGTGCTTACTTCAATTAACATCTAAAAAATATATACAAAACAACTGATACTACAAGCAAGTTGATGTTTGGTTTTGATTTACATCAATCAGCCTGTGAAAGGGGTTTTAAAAAAATATATATATATTAGAATGGTCTCTCTAAGTAGGTAGTAAATGTACCAAAAAAATAAGCTTTCCTGGTGCACATGTGTTAGCGTTTTTTTTACATTTGAACGCCTACGCGCTGTGGAACACACCATTAGAGTTATCTTATTTCTCTACCTGGCTTTTTTCGTCAAATCTTTGCCATATGGTCGGATTAACGTCATTTTATAAACAGCGCCCTTTTACTCATCTTTTTTTGCCTTTCGTCAGACGATTGTATAATTTGCTACAGTTCTAATACATCCCTTTCTTTGCGGGCGGAACGGACCTATTACGAACTTCGTTTGTACTATGGGATGCTAGGGTAACGGTCAGAAATATATAAAAAATAATCATGAAACTCGGCCCTCGCTACCATGAATATACGCGAACAATAATAAAAAAACGAGCGGGCCTTACAGTAGTCGCGTATGATGTGTATCATTTGAAACGTCACCTTATATTAGTAAAAAAAGAAATAAAACCTACTACAAAAGGAATAAGCCATTTGAAGGACTTTTTGGTGTATCGGGAAGCGTCACTTAAGCAGTTTTGTTTTTCTTGTTAAAAATTGTGTTGTGGCGGAAGTTAGTGTCTAATAATGGTGGATTATTAACCAATAAGGGGGCGTCCATAAATTACGTGAGATGTTTAAGGGGAGGAGGGGGTCGAGTCAAATCTCATCTAATCTTACGTTGGAGAGAGGGGGGGTCTCGGCAAATATCACGCAATTTTTTTTCACAGTAATCTATTAAGTATTCTGTTGTTAAATTTTTATTACACTTATAACTCTCAGCAATATTGATTATTAGACTTAACTAGTCGTAAATAAAAGCACGAAGCACTTTTTTTTCTTTTTACAATAACAATCCAACGCTTTTACGAAAGAAACCCACATTTTGAAAAATCTCACGTGAGATTGGGGGAAGGGGGAGGGGGTTGAATAAAATCTCACGACATCTCACCAGGGGGGGAGGGAGAGACAGAAAATCCAAAAAAACACCTCACGTAATTTATGAACGCCCCCTAAGTGTTCGGGACAATGCACAAGTGTTGGCAAGTGAAACAAAATAGCGGAAAGTGTCTTTCGACGTTCCCTCAAGAAGTCCACGGGGAGGTTCCAGTAAATCCCCACACTTTTACTGAAACATAGGGAAAGGGCGATTGACTTGACTGCTACTTACTTTGATTTGATTTATTACTTTGACCACGAGTGCTATATTATTTGTAAACATTTTAACACTTGACATTGGCTAAATGCACAAGCCTTGCAAAGCCATTTAGAAAAATAAAACCATTTAACATTATGTTCTAAAATCAAATCAAATAGCGCGCGCTTTCGCGACTTCCTGTTACACATTTCATGAAATCACTCCCACAAATTGCAGGAAAGCGAGAGGAAAAATGTTACACATAAAAAAGATACTTACTGGCAAAGCCGTATAATATAAAGACAGGTCATACACCAACATTGTTGCATTTTAGAATGGCACAAGTAATCCCCGCGCCAGCTTCCCTTGTTGGCATCAGCCGCAAATAGAGCGCACTAAAGTAGTCTCTTTCACTCTCATTCATAAAGCAATTACATCTCGCTCTTTAACCTTCACGTGTCAACGGTGTCAGAAACTCAAAAATAAGTAGTAACTAAATAATTTTACATTAATTGATTTTAAAACTGTACTTACGAATGAAATGACACGTTTTTCTTGTCTGTAATAGTTCCCGTGTATTTTGTGTACTATTTTTTAAAAAAACACATAGGGCTTTTAGTCTGGAAAAACATAGAATATTTACACGTTGTAGCGAAGTGCAGTCGCGGCGAGAGAGCGTATTGCCAAACTAGAAGCGTGAATGATGAATTTATAACCTTAAAACATCATAGCCTAAATGGCCATTTTGGAGTCTTAAAAATGATACATGGTTAAGCATATCTTAAAGGGTCCTTCTATCGTAAAACTTATAATGTCAATTATTATGTATACAGCGGAGGGCATCAACTACATTTCGCAGAAAATCTTCTAGTAGACATTCAAACTAATAATTTTGTAAACAAGAATCATCTTTAGGCATAAATTTCTATTTTCAGCTCGAAGTGGAGACGTTCCATTATAAACGAGCCTGTTTGTTACTATCAAGGACCTTTCGGGAAAAATCTTTCTTTAATGTACCTACTGCTTATTTCATATTCATGTCCTAACAATTACAATCACAAATAAAATCAGTCGAGCTTTTAGAAAATGAGCAATTTCTTTCATACAAATTTATTATTTATTCGTGTTTTTTTCATTGATTGTATTCATTGAACGGTGTCTAACTAGACAATTTAGATAATCCAGATCGGATTACTACAATCATTAAAATAAATAGGAAAATAAACAACATAATTCCACGACAAAAGAGAGAGAATTCTCAGATAATGAAAGAAAATTTACCTATTACCTCATCAAAATAATAATTATTTACAACGTTTAAAATATCGCAAATGATTAATACGACCCTTCATTCGATTTTAATACGATGCGCGAATGATGTCCAACGATTTAATGTTTGTCCAGTCATCCAAGTCATTTATCAGCTTGTTATTTCGTTTGAAACAACTGAATACTTTCTAATATCGGTTTGGTTGATAGGAGACGAAGCAGGTAACATTATTCTGTTACAAAGTTACAACTTTACAAGAATATTTTCTACTTTCTGCTAAATAATCTTAACCAATAAAATGATTACTCGTTGAGGAGCGTTTATTAGGGGAAGATTCAAACTTATTTGATTTGGCACCTTAAGTTCGAGAATAGTAAGTGTTTACTAACTACATACAATCGATTCTACGTATTATACTTCAGTAGAAACGCAGGTTTTGTAAACACAGCGCGTGCGTCTGTTGCGTCTTGTAAGCAGTTTATATGTTTCATGTGCGAATTGCTATTTCGATTTGTTCAATTAATTAGTAAATCGTTGTAATGAAAGTCCTTATAACTTAATATATAACTATAAGGCAATGTTTTCCAGAGGAGCAGAAATAAGGTCATGCATGTACTGACTTTAGGGTTCCGTACCCTAAGGTGAATCAAAGACTCATTCTTTGACAACTCGCTAACGGGGGCTCCGTTACAACTTTTTACTCTGACGTTTCAATTTTGACATAAAATGAAACGTCAGAGTAAAAAGTTTGCCAAATATGACATTTGTTGCACATGGATTGTAGTTTTTGAACGTAGCCCTGTGTATTTTGTCAAGTAGTCCCCGGGACTACGACAGCTACGTGAGCAGTAGACGGCGCGTGTAGAGAAATATGTTTCTGAAACAAAGTTTTTGTGTGCGTGTTTTTGGTGAATGTTTTCAAAAAACTTTTGCTGGAGACCCGGCATCACACTCAATGGCAATGAAAACTGATCGGTTATAATGTCCTTGTTATTATATAGGTACTTTGATTTCTGATGAAATTATAAGATTTTGAATACGATCGTCAGTTCAGTTTTACATCTACCTATTAATCTATTCTATACCTCTATCTTTATATATATAATTCTTCTGTGAGTGTGTATGTCACTGAACTTCTCTTAAACGACTGGACCGATTTTGATGAAATTTTTTGTGTGTGTTCAAGGGCATCTGAGAATGGTTTAGATTCACAATTTTGTCCGCTGGACAATGTTTTTTTAATTAATTTTTTTTATGGCGGTACGAAGTTCGCTGGGTCAGCTAGTACTCTATATATATAAATAAGATTGGTGTCTGTTGGTAATATTGAAATAACCGCTTTTAACTACATGCATATGAATATTTATACAGTACATACACTAAAATAACATTTTTTACAATATTTGTCTGTCTGTTTGTTCCGGCTAATCTCTGAAATAGCTGGACCTATTTTGACGGAACTTTTATTGGCAGGTAGCTACTGTAATAAGGAGTAACTTAGACTACTTTTATTTTAGAAAAAATCTTTTATTACAAAATCTTAAAAAAAAACTTATAGTTAACGCGGGCGGCCGCTAGTAAAATAATATAAAAATAACTTTCAAGTTTGCAACACGTAAAGAATACGCTACATTTGCCTCACCGGACAAAATCTAATTTTGTCAGATAAGTATTCGAGAACTGTATCTGATTTTATCCATTTATCCGTAGGCCTGGCAACACTATTTAAGCGTTAGGTTAACCATGCAGACCTAGTGTGGTCATTGTTTCCAATCAAGAATCGATGAAGGTGTGACTACAGCAATGACTTTGAAATATTTATCTTGTCTTACATCGTAGATCTCGTTTGTGCTATCTCGGAGTTTGGTACGAGTATCATAAATTATCCTATGAATGTCCTCACTGCTGGGGCACAGGCCTTTCCTATGAAGGAATAGGGAGATTGCTAACGACTGCAGATGCCTCCGGGACCAACGGCTTACGTGCCTTCAGAAGCACGGTGGAGCTCGTCATAGTAAATTTTTGGTCACATCCAATGACCGAACACTGCGA